CGCTGCCTTTTTACGATTCTTAAGATTTGTGAAGGAAACAGTAGATATCACAAACGAGGAAATAAATGATATAGAAAACAAAATAAAGTCTTTGGAACCGACACAGGTCACGCAATTAAACAAAAGCTTTCTAGTAAAACATGTAATGATGCTCACAATGGTTCATGCGAAAGTGTGTAATGCCGCAACCAACACAAAATCCACGATGAAATGCTATATTTGCGGTGCTACATCCAAAGACTTCAACGATTTATCAAACAAACGTCCTTGAAATGAAAATTCCTTAAAATTTGGCTCATCACATTTGCATGCCAGAATAAGGGCCGATTTCACCAACATTAATATTATGGACCAATGGGAAAATACCTTATTGAAAAGCAAATTGACGGAAGCTGTCAAAGCTCTCAGAATATCAGTGATATCTACTGAAATATTGAATAAAACCGTGAAAATTCGACTGTATTGTAAACAAGACCACTTTTTGATTCCAACATGATGCTTTTTTACAGAAAAAACAGGACAACTTTCATGTATTTTGATATATGTTATAGGTTTACATTTAACAATCCGTTATCCCCTCAGCGAATGGGAATGCGGCAAATAATAGGTAGATTTTCTAGGTGTTAAATTTGGCAGCAGATTTGGACGTTTGTTAATGCATGGCACTCTCGAATTTACCAACTTCAATATAATGAAAGTTATCATTACATGCCTGTTGAATAGTGTCGATTTGTCTGTAGTTTGCAAGAAAATAGAATATAAAATACATTCCATCCAATTCCTCATCTTCCTTTACGTCATAATAGTAATCATTTATTAATTTATGGGTTAATGAATTTCTTCAAAGCAATGAAAACATTATGTCCTCTAAATCCTAAAACACAGATAATATGTGTAAGACGTGTCAATCCCTACATCTCCCTGATGCATAATGCAATTACTATGGACATAGACAAAAAATTATGAAAAATGTTTCACAAATAATGTCCTTTTATGTCCAAAAATCATCAAAACTAGTAATGTCTATTGTTTGTGTTTTTGACTGGCGGTCGTTGACTGGCGGGGATATCTATCTGCCAAGTCTAACGACGATCACTTCCCGTGGTGGAGGGTGCGAAATGAATCTTTTACATTTGCTGGTTTTGCATTTTTTTCGTGAAAATTTACTAGGTATCATGATTATAAGCATCTTTGGTAGATTGTTCGATACGGAATGGGAAAGACCTCCTATTTATGAAAATATTTTTGGTATCATCTAACAGTTGCAATCAGTGCACAAACACTGTGACATATGATTTATAGCATAACTCGCTGCCCTATCAATACAAATTTAACATACAGGTCGCCTAGCCGTGGGGATGCAGTGGTCGGGATGAATATCACGGCAGCAACAGATGATTTGGGCATGTCTGGTAAGAACGTATGAAGTGAAACTCGCTAACTTCACAAATTTGAAGATTTTGTACAATTTCTTTGAAAATGATGAAATATATGTCTGATTTGGCAGGGTAATGTCGCAGCCAAATGGCAGTCACTCTTTCTGACACAGTCCGGATCGAAAGATGACGATACTCATGAAATATATTGATACTTCTAAATATAGGATCCTATCGAACATCCCTACTTTCAAGATGTATAACCCAAGGTACCGACGGAGCTATTTTGCGGCGTTATGGAAATAATTTTAAATTTTCATTTGCATTTTTTCAAGTGTTGTGCAATGATTTTGGAAAAAATGTCACGAATAGTCTTATAAAGCATAGTAGAGTATTTTTCAACAGTTGGCGGAACTTACTCCACTGGGACCAGGAGGGTGAAACGGGATATTAATGCACAATCTGGCAACCTTGTCGCACCCTCACAAAATGGGCGCTGACAACTACACAAGTCACCGTGTTGTGATTGAATAGCATGGAATTAAACATACAGAGTATGTTTTGTGACTGGTACCAAGAGTTGACAGAGCCCACACAAGTGTCACTCCTTGAAATGCAATAATCAGCTGTATTCAAATAACGTCTAATATAAATATAACCCAGAATATCTACTCAGTGAAAAAAGAAAAATATTGCATATTTCTACTTTTTCTGCAGGTTTTAGGTTTGCTGGTAGCTCTACGACATATATTTGGGTATTTCTTAATCGCTGTGAATAGAGTGTGGATGTTTGTTTGTTAAGTTCCTGAACAACGAAAAATATTCAATTTATGGATGTATGGATATTAAAAAACCAGAATGGTTTTGTGGGAATATCAATCTAAGGTGCCATAATGGTTCTGATGAACGGCAAGTAAATGAATGAATGTTTGGAAACGAGCAATATCTATGAACTTTTTGGTAGAGCCAGTCATCAAGTAGGTGCTTAATGGCTATCTGCAACAGGTTTATAGGAAAAAACACCCAGTAGATGATCTTGAATCAGTAAAATCGAATATCAGTTGAAAAAAATAATATTATCATGAATAAAAAATCAACAATGGTAATTAAAACATGAATTTTATTCAAAAATCAAACATTTGTTTAAATTTTGACTGAATTATATGTAATTTCTTAATATTCAATAAGCTGGTGATGTTTCAATGACAAGATGTCATCTCATACTTTGACAATATTTCGTTTTCAACATTTCATAGCTATTGGTTGCTAAAATTTGGATTGGAAGAATAACGGACTGTTGTTGGTGAAATTGGCCCTAAGACTGTTTAAAGGAGTGCTTCATATTGCGTACAAATTGCCAATGAAGAAATGGCAATTAGGAAGTGATAGGCATAAACAAATACTTCAACAAAGGAAATTGGAGATACAAAAGGAAATCGGAGATACAAAAGGAATTTAGATGCCAAATGGGTCTTATAGTTGATCCTCCAAAACCTGGTTTTGGAACCAGCAATGCTGGGAATACCAGTATGAGATTTTACGGATCATGAGCTATCAGCAACAATAACCGGTATAGATTCCCGTCTCCTTTTTCGTCTTAAAGTAATTTTGGGAGCGATATCAAGCGGCCATTAAATAGACAAACAGAAATTTGAAATATTTTGTTTGTACAGAGCACAACTGTACGTTGAATTATATTCCTGGCATCCAATGATACCAACTCTAAACAAAATACATGATGATGATGATGATGAAGACACTGCACCAGAGATAGGAGACTATTTAGATGATTCTTGGTTGGCATCTTCTTAATAAGATTTTTTATATGTTTTTAATAAATATTTTCACGTTTTTCAACTATCAGCATTTTATTTATTTACCTGCTGCTATTAGTTGCATTATTAACTATAACAGAGCTAATTACAGTTTTTGAAGTAACTTAAAATAAAAAAAGTTTTGACCGGATTTTTAATTCAAATACCCTTATATGCGACGTTTTGGCTACCACTATATGTGGTTTTACACAATGGGGTCCTATGAACATAAAGCACTCTGGACAAATTTGAGGAGTTACACTACAACAACTTCAAGTAAGTAGTGAATTATTAACATAGCTTCTGTGCATAACTTCACAATTGTTTGCACTTTGTATAGCTTAGTCGTTACAGTAATTAATAATTTCAACAATGCTTCTTCATCCTGTTAAATCGGCCTATTCTTATTTTCCTCATGTTAAAAAAAGGTACAATATACGAGTAACTTCCGCATCACTTTCTCACAAGTCTCCAACGCCAAACAGTCGGAATTAGAAAGTACACAGTCAAACTGAGATAAATCGTGCAGTAAAAACATTGAGCAAACACATTATTATTTCTGCCATAGTCTCCATGGCACGAGAGCATACACAATAGTAGAACAACTCCTTTATTTGCACTGCACTTTAAACTGGCTCTATTGTCCACTCGACTATTAGACTTGAACAGGTGGCGACGACGCTCAAGGGTTCTCTCAAAATATCATTTATAAGTCATGTATTATCGTTTCAGTTCATCTCTGTATCTATGACGTAGAAGTCCCGAACTCCTCAATCCGTCAGATATTGTACTACAGAATTCTGTAGTAGCAATCAGAAAAATAGGGTGCACGATAGCCTGTTAGGATAACTGTTCGTTTGTTCCAACGAATAAGCGATTTATAGTTTTCTAGATATTTGTCACTTATTTCCGTCGGTGTGTTTGCCTATTCGCGCCTCGGAAACGGCTGCTGTTGATGAAAAAATGTACAGATAATAATAATAATAGTAATAATAATAATGATGATCGTCTTTTTATTGCGGCGAAGTTTAGCTTAAGATACTAAATACAAACATGAATAAAATAGATAAATGACAATAGGCTGACAGCATAACAAAAGTATTATACGTATTTAATGTAATTACTTTGACAAATGAAAAAATACTATTTTTATTAGCTGAAGTGAAAGATGAGTATTTTTAATTTTGGCAATCTACAAGCAGATTCTTGATCTTTTTAAAGTTATCAAATGTCAAATATTTAATTTCAGGGGTAATGAATAAATTATCGATAGGTGGCATTAGAAGTGAAGCTTTTATGGAAAAAAGTTCTGTGGACAGGCATGGTGACTGTATTTAGGAAGCGGATATCTCTAGAATGAACTCATACGATTTATTAGCTTTTCCTTTAAAAACTGAGGTAATGAGGTAATTTGGAGTTTAAGAACGTAACATTGTAAGTGATATTTATATAATTTTGAAACATTCGACCAACCTAGTTTTCGAAAAGATGTCGAAATATAGTCGTACGTAAGTTTTCTACTAATCTACGGCAATATTCTGTATGAGTTTCATAGATACCGAATGTAACAACGAATGGTAAACAATAGATAATTGCACTCACTGTTCACTCCCTAAACTTAAAATAATAGCTTGATGAAAAAAATTATCATATTTTGGGAAGACCAGTGCGATGCTTTAAAAATAAGAAACAGCACGACTGTTGTAGTTATAGAAACAAGCCAGACAGAACAAGTATTTCCAGTTAAAATTTATCATTTTATGAAAGTACTTCTTCAAAAAGTGGCTCTAACTCCCTAATAATAATTATAAGGGCTCTGCTAGGAAAAAGAAATAAAATGCAGAAGCATAAGTTTAATTATGGACAAACAAGTACAAAAATGTGAAAACGACACTTAACATCGCTGCAACTACTCCGCGTAGACCTTCAGCTTTTCCAGCAGGAATTCTGGGCTCTATGTTTCCATCAAGCACGTCTTTTATGAAGTCCATGTGCTGATCCACTCGGGTGTACACACCAGGCAGTTCATTTGCGCAACCGAGTCCAAATGTAACGATACCGTATTGTATACCTCCGCACATCAGAGGCGCTCCAGAATCACCGTAGCATGCGTCCATCTTGTCTGTTTTTGTGCACATCGTCTGGAAATACATCAAATATACTTAGTGACAAATAAAATATAACGCCTGATGAAAACTATTCAATTTGGTTGAAATTTCATACATAGACATACGAGGGATATCTTTTAAGTTTTGCACTCTCTAGTAAACTTAAATTCAAAGTTTCACAACAATACGTGCAGTGTTCTCACTACAGTGAATTTTTAAGTGTCGCCAAGTCATTAGAAAAATGGAACTCAACCGAGAACATTTTTGCGCCATAATTATTACAACTTTCAGAGACAATTATCGCAACAAAACTTCCTTGCTGAGTTACTGTCTGTTTTCGGCAACGAAGCGCCACATCAGTCGACAATTTCCCGTTGGTACAGAGAATTCAAATGTGAACGGGTGAGTCTTAGCGACGATCCCAGGGTGGGTGCACCAAAAACAATTTATTCAATATTGCTGAAAAAACCCTATTTAGCTTAATTGTTTATCGACTTCAATTCTTAAAAAATAGAGTTGAAGGTCTTTTTATGCTCTAAAATATCCAGTTTACTGATTATTCATAAAATTTAATTTGAAAATTATACAAGCAAAATACTGAATTTTGAGCTTTTCCCATTGTTTATAGAAAACAACGCATATCTGGCTGTATGTTTTTATGTATTATTTGTCATTAGAAAAACCGACACGAAATACCTATTTTCTTTCGCTGTAGCCTGGGCCCTGGGCTAATAGGTAAGTGACCAATATATAGCATTTGGCCTACTTGGTTTATTTTACAGACTCTGTATTTTCGTAAGTTTCACTTGTTACGTGGCTAGATTCAGCTGATTGAATTAGTTTTAGACGCCCTAATTCGGACTAGATTGCTTCTTTGCATCCCGATCTAATTTCACGCTTACATCGATCGAAATTAATAGTACAGCTTAATCTTATTTTGAATTGCAGATCATTTGAATTGTAAATTACGTTACCTTATTATCTATTTCGAGATCCGGATACGTTTTGTAGTCTTGCTTGCATTGGTCCAAGGGGTATAGCTTTAAATCAGCGCAGAGTAGGCTTGACTCACTCTCTGCTCCGATATTTGAACGCATGCTCCAACCCAACAATGTTGGTCTGAAAATCAATTATCACTTGTAAGTAGGAGGGGGATAGCTAGACAGAATTACATTTGTAATAGTTGAAATGCACTGTTAAGATTCAGTTTTGAAGGAGGAAACAGTTAATGCGCGTTATTTTTCCATTGCAAGTTTCCAAAAATTCCGATAAAGTTTAAAATTGGTACACATCTTGAATATATCATTATGGATCATATATTAAAGCTACTCGTATTTCCTTGTTTCATTTGGGATGAAATGTCATGAATATCACGTTTTGTCATATTTCTCTAAAAGGAAAAGAGATACCACAAAATTAACTTATAAAAAAGGAAGTTATATTGACGGTGGCAATATAAAACTTTTGAAAATTTTTTTTTTAAAAATCAGTCTTATCATTTAATTTACAGACCTCTGATACGAGCCCCTTCCCACTTCAGTTGGCCCAACTATTGAAATCTTAGTCTTTTTCTTATCAAACACAAATAATAAAAATGTAGCAGGGTATTATAGGTTTAAAATATTAACAATGAATATTTTGATAATATATAGTAGAAAACACCAACTTTATCACTCCCTAATCAAATTTGCAGTATAAAAATACATGTTGCAATTACAGCATATCAACCTATTTTCATTTCAATGCAAAATAAGTCTATAACGTATAGGTGGCTGTGAAAAATAAAAGCCATGACAATTGTTTTTATTAATCACAGCTGTCAGAATACGTTTAAAATAGTTTTGGGTAGTTAAGGTTTTCAAAATGGGTAGAGGAAAGGTTATTAGTGAGAAACTTCGGTTGCTGATAATTAAATTTTTTAATTCTGGGAAATCAAACTCAGAAATTGCAACTTTGTAAGACTTATCGCGGTACAGTGTGAGAAATATTGTTAAAAGATATAACGTAACTGGTTCAGTTAATATTAAGTCACGATATGTGAAAAAAAAGTAATATCACAAATGCCGATCGAAGAGCATTAAGAAGAATAATCGTGAAAAACACGCGTGAAAATTATTTACAATTAAGCCACTATTAACTCCACTGCAAAAGAAAAATCGGTTTAGATGGGCTAAAGAACATACACAATGGACACCTCAACAATGGTGTGCAATACAATGGAGTGATGAAGCCCGATTCAAAGTTTGTGTTGGTGACAGTTGCAGTAGAGTTATTCGCAAAAAAATGAAGCATTCCATGTTGACTGCCTGAAGAGAAAAGTGAAATTTCCAGCATCCATTATGGTCTGGGGCAGTATGTCATCAAAAGGAGTAGGAAAACTTCATTTTATTGATGGAAATGTGGATACAAACAAATATTTGGCAATTTTAGAAGAATCACTTTTACCAGTGATGGAAGAATGTTTGATATCCGGCCAAGATTTTGAGCAAGATGGTGCAGTGTGCCATACCTCAAAAAAGGCTATAAAATGGATGAATGTAAATAATGTACCACTTTTGAAATGGGTTTCTAACAGTCCAGATCTGTCACCTATTGAAACTTTGTGGCACGAGATGAAAAAGGTTCTACGACAACATCCTGCTCGTACAATCACCGAACTGTTCAGATGTTCTATTAGTTATAGGTCTGAGTGATTTCAAATATGTATTTTTTACGACTAGAGTGTATCTAAAATGTTTTTGAGAAAATAAATTGTTTTAGAAGTAAATAGTTTCGTCATGTTTAGTTTATAAAGGCATATTTTCGTACAAATCGTGAAGTGGGCCAACTGAAGTGGGAAGGGGCTCGTAGGTGCGGACTATAAAACTCAATAAACCATGCTCACCTGGCACATGCAGTCTCCAAGCTCTCTTGAGTCCCCCATGGCAGCTTAACATATTTAACGTTGTGTGTTTCATCGATTGGTTCATCAAGTTGGACCATCATTAAATCATGGGTGATGAGGTAGTAGTTGGGATGAGTGAATAAGGAAACTGTTGAACGATTGTGGACTCTCTCGAGGCTTTTGAGATCTTGTTTGGAGACCCCGGCTACCACGCTAATAGGTTGGTCCATCCAAACTTGGCTGCAGGATGCCGCAGTTAGTACCTGGAAATGAATATGATTAGTGTCATTTTTTATCTAACAATTTTATCCTTTGTTATTGAATAAATATTATGCGAAGATGGTGGCCCAAATGGGCACAGTGGTAAAACTGTGGTCAAAATACAAGTTGTTGTTTGATGTGAACAAAATTCGGTACAATAGGCTTTTCAACGCCGCTAGTGAATCATGAATCAGAGGTCAAATTTTAAAGACAAAATGGCGGGGGATTGTTCGTAAGTGTATTTGATTTATTTAAGACAATTTACTACCTTTGGGTTTTTAAAGTCGTTATTTATGAATCTAATATTGAATCGCCTCCAAAGAAAATGTGGCTTCCTCAACACATTTCATATCCCTCATATATAAACCGATGCACAAATCTTGCGTTCAAATATAAATACTATCAGTCTACGGCTGAGGTGCCGTGTATAGCATCTCCATTAGTTTTCTACTTAAGTGTGTCATTGTATGGTATATTATACATTTCCAGAATCAGAACGCAAAACTTTATTCACATGTGTAAAAATCCAGTATGGCGTTTATAAGAAAAAATAAAATTGATGATTTAAGATAAGAGACGAAACGTCATATTGAAATTCTGATTGTCCCATCTTGTAGAGGAGAAAAAGAGGCAAAGTTATATATTTTTTATTTTGAAATCAATCCCGTATCAAATACCATGTTATTTATTGACCACATTATATATATATATATAGGTGAAAAATAAAGCTTCCGCCTTTTGTTGGGTACTTCGACAAAATTCAAGCAAAGAGGACTCTTTATACTGTATTAATCTCTAGCTTTTAATGGACTTTGCCATCTTCATCAGGAGAGTCGTATTTGAGGTTGTTGTTAAATGTTATTAACGTTTTGGTTGAGGGATACACCCAGTAACCTGGTGAAAGCTGGATACAATGGTTCATTTGTCAAAATTAATATACACTACACACAGCTGTATGTTAGGAACAAATTAAAATGGATTAAAAATATATAAAACGAAAGTTAAAATTACATTACGAACCACCTGAGGCAAAACAAAATGGTGGGCACAGGAACCTGCAACAACCTCACATACGACTCTCCTGATGGAGATGGATTGAAAGCTAGAGATTAATAAAGTATAAAGAGTCCTCTATACGTGAATTTTGTCCAAGTACCCAACAAAAGGCGGAAGCTATATTTTTCACCTAACTGGTCTAAACGACAATGACCACGTCTCAAGTTATATATATATATATATATACACACATTGTACATATTTATATACAATGTTCATGAGAGGTCTTAAAAGCTAATTTACTATTTATCCGAGTGACGTCATCGCATCAATGTACTCATCAACTGAATAGAAACAGTAGTTAAGCAACTTTTTTAACAAACTTTGAGAAGTTGTGATAGGCATATCTCCAAAATTATATTATTTATTTGCATTGACAATTTAATTATATAATTTAACGTTAGGTCTATTCAGCCGCGAGTGTGAATATCTTAGGTAATGAACATTACATAGTGCACGTGTGTATTTCTGCAGAGGTTTGATATTTGTTTGGATTTCTGTACACATAACATAGAATTTCAAAAATATAAATTGATGGAAGTGGTGATACTTGTACATTTTTGAAGTGATTTGTGCAATTAAAGTGACGAGACAAAATAAAAACGATTTAGGGAAAATTCTGTTTCTTGCGTCTATCTCTGGAAATACCTGGGGTTGCGAATCTTTGTGTCATTTTCTTAGTTACCTAAATGCGCAACTTTACCCCAATTTAACTGACTTCATATCTCTTACCATTTCCGGGATTGCAATGGCGAGGGTCTGATTTGAATAACCCCCCACGAAGTGGTTTCTACAGTCGCCTCTGTAAGGGAGCTCCTAATGTTTTGAATTTTGAAATTTTTACTCCCTATAAATATGCTATCAATTCGAAGGTATGTGGCACTTCCTAATTAATTGATGGTTTTAAATATCAGTTTTTTTAATCATACTGAATAAAAAGGTTACAACAACTTCAAAACTTGTTCGTCTTAAAGAAATGCAAAAATGCCCAGCTTGAGGACTTTAGAACTTATTTGAAGATATTCGAGGTCATCAAGTGAGAGACTTAAAACGTTATATTAGGCACGATCCCAATTATATTATATATATTATTCATCATATTACAACTCACGTATTCATTGTTGACCAAGGTGCCAACGCAGAGTAGTTTCTTATCAACCGAGTTTACGAAAATCACCATGAAATTCTCTTCTTCGCTGCATGGCTTTCTCAACAAAGTCGGTTTATCATCAGCTGAAATCTGATAAGCCAGTAGAGTGGAAAATACGATCACTTCCCAAGCAAACATCGAATAGCAGCGAATTTTGGACATCAAATTCTGGTTGACAGTGACAGGCGTGACGTGATCATTGATAGACGATAGATATGGATACAAACATGGTGGCGCAGTTAGTCGAGGGAGTATCTTCTCATTCGCTCGGAAAATATCCTGCTCCTGTATTCTTCTATTCGTCATTTGTTAGTCTGGGCGGTCCGTAGGACCTTTGCCCATTAGTCACTGTCTAATGTACGTTAGTTGAATCTGTCAGTCCTGGTTGCCCAGAAACCAGACACAATCAAGGAAAAGAAGAAACGGAAAGAGAAGAAAAAAGGAGAAGAGCAAAGAAAAACAGAAGTGTTTAGTCTAAGATAAAACACCTAGGCTAGGCTTTTTGACTTGGTACACGGATTAATTTTGAGGTGAACTAAACAAATTTTGATTCGGTTTTGTTAGAGTGTAATTTTAAGTTTACTAAAAGTTCGCGCCGATTTTTGATCACAGTGCGAGCCGTGGCCTGGAATGTTTACGAGTTTGTTCCACTGTGTAGTCCACTGAGTCGCGCAACAGATGGTTGCTGTGCGATTCCGCTTAACTATAACGTCGCTGCGCCTGAAGCTTGACATAATCCCTCAAGTAAGGAATGTCAAGGACTCTGTGTAGTGTCTCGTTTGAGACAAAGCATGGAGCGTTGCAATTTGTTCTACTTTGCAGTACTTTGCATGTGTGTCTTTGTAATGCTTTCTTTCCGCAAAAAGTCCAGAAAAGATGGAATGCAATGAAGATTCCAACTTTTCTGCACAATCACAGAAAGGGGGTTACCATTAGCTTCCGGTAGCTCAGTCGGTGGCATGAAGACATCTACAGGCGTGTAGCTGTGTTTCGACCATGGCATGGCTAGAGGATAGAAGAACAAACAGAACACAAAAATTTAACAGATTTTATTTAACTAGAAAAACTTTTTCATTACATTTGAAATTGAAATTTTAAAGAACAAAATAAAAGTTTTAAATCTTTGGCGCTGTTACAAAACTATCCACTTATCTTTCGCTAAGCTGGTCCATTTTGACTGGACTGAAGCAAGGATGGCCAAGGGCTTCAGATGGAGGTCCCAGTTATGAGGGGTGACCTCATATTTAGTGGCTTCAAAACTAGTTGTAGGCGAAGGATGCAGTGAAGTTGCACTTAAACGTGATCTTTATCAAGGATGAAGCTGTAAGTGATGGGGCTGCCAAGGCACATGCATGGCAAAGTGATAGGCCAAGCAATGCAAAGTCAAAGACAAAGGAAGGCAAAATCAAAGACAAAGGCAAAGGCAAAGTGAAAGGCAAAGGCAAAGTCAAAGACAAAGGAAAAGGGGGTGGCCCCAATCTGAAAAGAACCGTGTGCATTAGCAACGTACCCCAATGGCCAAGGCATTTCCAATCTCAGTCTGCCTCAAAAGAGAACCAACGATTTTCTAGGTTAGAATTACATTACATAGTTTGATAAAATCAAACCGAAAATTGGAAATGCCTTTCATAAAATAAAATCATGAAATAGCAAAAAAAGCGTAAAACAAGATGGTGGTCATCAAAAATTTCTCCACATGCTTCTGATATAAAAACACAAATATCGAATATTCATAATCAACGTACTCATATTTCACTGAACTATGAATATACATATATACGCACACAGAGGTAAAATCGATGTGGATCGATTTATACCTCGATTTGATTAAAGTTATGGCGAATGATCGAAGTAGTCGAAAATGACGTTCGATGGATATTCTAAAATCGTACAAGAAATAAACCACTTACATATCGATTATCTATAAACTACAGGCAGATCCAGCAATAAAACTGTATAGTATTATAAAACTCACCATTTTATCCTATTTGGACACACATTTTACAAAATGCTAGCACGTGGTGCTATATGACCTCATGCTACAGAGCACAAAATTCTCAGCTCTTGTTAGATCGGCGGCTCAAGTGAAAAGGAAGCGTGACGAAGATCACAGATCAGGAACTCCGCATCAAGCGCGGTCCAAGCGGAAATGTTCCCAAGTAAAAAAGCTACAGATGGGATTAATGAGTTGCGATTCTGAAATGAAAATCGAGAAGTGATTTAATAAATACAATCGGACGGTGAAACCGTTACATCTTGGCAAGAAAACACCAAGCTGCACATTCATAAGTAATGGCTGGTCTAATAATCATTTTATATAGGCGAACATTGTTTATCAAACTCAATTTGGAGGATCTACATAACAAAGGATATAGTTGCCGAACGCAATTTGGAATTTTGTTTTCAAGGCTGCTGTATGTTTCTGCCAGGTCATGCCTTTATCAAGGGTGACACCGAGGTACTTGGCAGAATTTGTCCATGGTGCACTATTGCCGTCTACAGAAACCTCTGCTGGGGGGCCGCGACGTTTTTTGATACAATAAATAGCCTGCGTTTTCGAATGATTAATTTTAATCAGCTACCGTTGCGCCCACTCTAGTATTTCTTCCACCGCACTCTGCAACCAGACTCGTGAACCAGATCACCAGCACATGACGGGGCGACAAGTGCAGTGTCGTCAGCATAGAGGTAGATTTCACATTTGCTGGGGCAAGGGACATCATGGATAAATCAAATAAAGGATTGGTCCTAGGACCGAACCCTGAGGAACACCGGCCCGTACTGACAAAATATTGTTAATATTGATCCGAAACTTCCTTCCTTCAAGAAAGGATTTGAGTAATTTTAGAAGCCAAAAGGACAACCCTTTTGGATTAGTTTATAAAGGAGTCCCGCGTGCCACACCTTGTCAAAGGCTTTTGAGACATCCAAAAGCAAGATGCCAGTACTCATGCTGAGGGTGAACCCTCTGGTTACATGTTCCTGACTGCCTGTAGCTCGGTGCTATGCTCGGACCGAAAACCGAATTGAACATCAGGAATCATGTGGTGATTTGACGAAAAATTCTCAAGATGGCGAAAAATTACCTTTTCGGCGAGCTTAGAAGGAGCTGACAGCAGATTTATGGGACGGTAATCCTGAGGAAATATCGAACCCACCTTCTTTAGAATCACGATGACCTCAGGAGTCTTCCACCCCGCAGGGAAGTGCTGGGTTCTGAGCATCGCATTGATTATTGTCACCAAATATGTCAGAGCTTTCGGCGAGAGCAGCTTCAGCGCCTTGTTGGTGATTTGATTCTCCCCGGGTGTTTTACGCACCTTGAGATCTTTAATAAGGAGATCCACTAGAGTGCAATGTGGAACCTCGGAGGGTTCCTCCAATGTGCTAGGCGAAACCTCAGACGAATCTTCTGAAGAAGAGTAATCTGAAGAGGATACAGTGCCTCTGTTAACGCCGTTAGTCCTAAAATATCTCCTGACGGATCTTACAGTGTGGTTCCTTGTCGAGGTCATTATCAAGATCATAGTTAGGAGAGAACTGTTTTTCCATGGCGTCAGCGAAAACCTCGACCTTGTCCTCTGTTCTGAAGACTATGTCTTCAGGACCGTGGACGTGCGGGAGTTGATCTCGCTTTCCGTTTTTGAGTGACTTTGCGACCCTCCAGAGAGGAATACTTGAATCAAGCATTCCAGCCAGAAAGTCGCTCCATTGCTCATTACGGGATTCATGGAGCGCGTTTCTCAAGTCATGGACAAGATTCGTAGCTCTACGAATGTCAGGATGGCAAGACCTTTTTAACTGCTCAATAGCGGTTCTCTTGTCAGAGATGTTCTGACGAATGTCCGCAGGTAAAAAAGGTCTGCCGTGTAGTTGTACAGTAAGTACAGCTGCAGGCTGTAGAGTTGTTTGAATGAAACTTGTCCACTCGGCTTGAGCGGCATCTGTTCCAGTCTCATCATCTGTGATCGGGATATTTGGAATCGATACGTTTTCTTGGAGGAGCTTCCTCCTCAGAAGTTTGCTCATTGCCTACATCCAAGACAACAGGTAGATGTATTCTTTTACATAATATTATGTTCAAAAAAGAACCCCTGCATGATGCCAGGTCGAAAATTGTACGAACCAAATTTTAAATCTATCTTCAAATTTTTCGCCCCCAACAAAGTTTCTTTTAGGTCATTTTGAACTAAAAAGGCTCGAATGTGGATGAACATCCACCAGGCGTTGACAAAATTGCGACTATTAATGGACAAATATTGTCTTGGTTGGGTGGAGTGCGCGGCGAGCTGTACTTACTCTTGAGGTCCTGGGTAGCCTAGTGTGTCAGTGTCGAGCTACTGATATATCGGCTAAACGGGCCGCAGGTTCGAATCCTGCCCTTGGCCATGGATATAGTGGCGATGTCCGCCTCAGTTGGGTGCATTTCATATAAATTAGGTAATAAGTAAAAATCAGTGTATGGTTTGGCTTCAAGCTAGACACCCAAGGCACTTCAAATTGAGCTGGTTGATTCTGAGAGAAGTGCTGAGACCAATAAATGACGAATGAATAAATAAATGAGCTGTATTTATTCGTCTATGTCCTTACTCCAAGGTTTGCGTCCATAGGCACAGATTATACAGATGCGATAGCTACTGTCGGTCCCTTTGATCTTCTTGTCCCTATCTAATTCCGTGGGTGCCCGAATGATTTTTTCCAATGGTGGTTACGCTTCATAAGTCTGACGTCACGAATGTGACACACCACGTTACAGAATGAAGTTTATCATTTGCCTATATACATTTAGGAAGATAATTTTTGGAGAGATGTTTATATTGAATTTAAGCGCCAACAACGGTACAATCAAATAATTCGAATATCTCTCAATGTCACAGTAACAGTTGACAGCAACGTAAATAATACCAAATGCATAGGACTCAAGTTGGCATTGATAGAACTTGATTTTTGACTGGCTGCCGCCTCTGTTATTAGGTCCGCATGATACTTTTTTTGAAAGAAAAAGTCTCCTGTATAGAAATTTATTTGGAACTCCTCAGATTTCCTTAAATTTCCTCATATTTGCAACTTGCATTCCTGGACTATAATGCAGACTTGATCGCCGCTCAAGTTCTACCACCTCCCAACTTAAAAAACCGACGCGATGATTGAGCACATATCATAACTTCGGATTTGGATGTTATTGCATGTATAGATAGTAATTCTGTACAGAAAATCCTGAACGGAGCACTTTTTATATGGAAATTTGTTTTTCCAAAATACCATTTTCCAGAAATCCTTTGACGAGAAATACCATAACAGCAGAGATCTAGTGACGCTGAAGAATACACCACAGAACATCGATTACCGATCCCAGTACATACAAGGAAGGAATGGATGGAACTTGACAGCGTGGTGTTGTCAGCTTCAACGGTTACAACAACTCCCTATACAGGGTGTTTCAGTTTATTGTTGCATAACTTTAAGATTCGATAGAACTTTTAAAATTAATGCATAAAGTCTATATGAACATGGGTCGAAAAATGCGTGGCTTCCGGAATACAGGGTGTTTAAATTTACTTTCTAAAATATTTTTTTTTTAAATATTTCGAACAATATTTGATGTATAACAGTGAAAATTGGTATACAAGGGTTTTTTGGTACGACAAAACGAACCATGGGCATAGTGTTACTGTAGCCGCTAGAGGCGCTCTCTACTGTACCTGTAGTGTATTAAAATGACCGAAAAATTTTTATTAGTGCAATTTTTTGCCTTTTTAATAAAAAAACTGATTCTTCGCACTTTTCAACATAAAAAAGCGCTCCTGTGAGTTTTCGTTATAGTTAGCCGTTTTTGAGATATTTCGATTTTTAAGGTTCGATGCATTTTTATTTATTTATGGGAAAATAATATTTTTTTTACATTTTCGATTTGGGCATTACAAGTAATTAAGACGATTGTTTAGATTGTGTTTTTAAACACAGCAATAATTCCTAACTCCAAATAAACACAAAAAAACAGAATATTAATTTGTTTAATTTTCCAATATTTTTTTTAACAACTTCAATTAATTATTTACAACTAAAATGCTATTGGATAGTTAGGACAAACATACAAAATCTAAAGTAGTTGCTCGAAATGTAAACCCAATTGTTCAATACACAATTCACATCTACGAATGATCGAACGTGGTATAGCATTATTCAAATAAGGCCTTATTTGATCACATGCATTCCTGATTCTGTCTATTAGCATATCTCTTGTGGTTACGGGATGTCTGGTACACTTTTCTTTTAGAAATCCCCACACAAAGAAATCTAATGGATTTAGGTCAAGGGATCGTGGAGGCCAGGCGACTGGTCCTCCACTGCCGATCCATCGTTCTAGATAATTTTCGTCCAGCCAGTTTCTAACTATTCTCGAATAATGAGTTGGACAACCATCAAGCTGGAACCAGGCCAATCTTCTTAAATCTAACATAACATCATCCCACATATTTGCATGTTCAGCCTTTAAAAATTCCAAGAAGGTCGCAGCATTTAACCTTGCAGGCAAAAGGTAGGGTCCAAATAGTCGATCACGATAGATACCAATCCACACGTTCACACTAAATTCATGCAGAAAATTTCTTTCCCGAACTGAAGCGGATTTTCATGCGACCAAATATGTTGATTATGTAAATTTATCACTCCACGTCTAGTGAAGCATGACTCATCGGTCGATAAAACGTTACTTAAAAACTCCCTATTATTATCAGTTCTATCAAGAATCCACTGACAAAATGTGATTCTTCGTTCTCCGTCCCCTGGCTGTAGTCCTTGCACAGGTTGCAAATGGTAAGGACGTCTATGGTCATTTCTAAGAACACGGTGAACATGGCTTGCTGAAATTCCCAAGGCACCAGAAACTCTCCTAACACTTGTGGTCGGATCTCTATCAAACTCACGCAGAATCATACGGATAAATCTGGGCTGACGAACATTTATGTTTTGATCCATTTGGAGATTTCCAAAACCATTTTCAATTATTTGGCGATGCACTCTTACAAATACTGAGCGAGTTGGATGTTGTCTGTTTGGAAATCTTCGTGCGTATTCTCTGGCTGCTTCTGCTGCGTTTCCATTTACAAAGCCATACACAAAATAAATATCCGCTAACTCTTGATTGGAGAATAAAAATGGCATTTTTATAAAACTTACAACAAAAAAACAGGTAAAAGAAACTAAATTTCGTGCATTCACAATTGCAAAAAAACGTTTCAGGTTTCAACAGACAACAAAACTAACTGTCAACTAATTGACGTTTAACCTTGTTCTGCTTTCAATTTCAAAAATATTTGCAGGCACAGCCTACTTCTAAAAATGCATCGAACCTCAAAAATCGAAATATCTCAAAAACGGCTAACTATAACGAAAACTCATAGGAGAGCTTTTTTATGTTGAAAAATGCGAAGAATCAGTATTTTTATTCAAAAAGCAAAAAATTGCACTAAGAAAAATTTTCGGTCATCATTTTAATACACTACATGTACAGTAGAGAGCGCCCTCTAGCGGCTACAGTAAAACTATGCCCATGGTTCGTTTTATCGTACCAAAAAACCCTTGTATACCGATTTTCACTGTTATACATCAAATTAATATTCTTCGAAATGTTTGAAAAAAACTATTTTAGAAAGTAAATTTAAACACCCTGTATTTCGGAAGCCACGCATTTTTCGACCCATGTTTATATAGACTTTATGCATTAATTTTAAAAGTTCTATCGAATCTTAAAGTTATGCAACAATAAACTGAAACACCCTGTATAAACAAACGTGATATTTTTCCAAAATTGTAGTTTCCATTTGAAAACAATTTCCCGAAATTCATATTGGGTCACTTTTTAACACGCTTTTATCAGCTTGGCCTGTATGTATGTATCGGAATCTTTGAGCATAATTTTCACCAATTTCCAGATGGTTGATTAATTTGAAGCTTCGCTCACGTATCAGGGACCGATAACAATGCAATAATTTGATAACAGTTTTCCATTATCCTTATTAGGACCGCCAGGATTGATAAATTCTTTTATAGGTCCTATGCAGCGGAGTAAGAGAGATAGAGCTTTTTACTCCGAATTGAATAATTCTGTTAATAACTTAAATTTTATTATAATTTTATTTTGAGGTCATTAATTATGATTGATTGTTGGACCATCTACTGCTGTAATATAATATCTTTCTAATTGAAAATTATTTTCTACTTTGCAGTTCGGTTAGCTATAAAAGCGTGTTTTTCAGTTTTCTTAAACTACTGTTTATTATTTTATAGTCTACTCAAGGACAAATAAAATAGCTATTCTTATAAAGCAATCAGGGTGTGTACCTAATACTTTGGATGTACGGCAGCGTTATAAGAAGAAACATACGACTGTTTATAATAAACAGGGTGTCCAAAGCCTACCTTCTCCTTAAGTTGGTCGTGGTACTTATTTTATATATATATAATGCATTTATTTCATAATGAACATGGCAAGTATACTCATATACAAGAAACAGTGAACAACTTTTCTTGATGCAAGGCTTCTGGCTTCTAAACTCAACTCTAAACCCGTCACCTGGCTGATGAATTCAAGATATTCATCAACTCTTGTGTGGACCATGGGATGGTTGCCCACTCCCCAGGAGACGATGCCGAACTGTATGTCACCACACATTACAGGGCTGCCAGAATCTGATAAGCAGGTTTCATCTTCGCCTTTATTGGATGTACACATTGACTAAAATAGATATTATGTAGATTTTATTTGCTGCAAGTACATATGAATATGTATTATTTGCAATGATAATTCCAGTAGTAGCTAAAATTGACAGGGGCGGAATAACTTGGTATGTGCGCCTTTTTGAAACTACGTCTGATCTTACAATGACATTGAAGGACATCGTCAGGTTCATCGCCAAGGTTACACTTGAATTTAAAGTTGTCCGCAATGTGCATTTCAGGACTTGAAAATAGATGTTTTCCGTTAAAAATTCAAATGACCTTCATGGTCATAGTCAAGGTCGGGTACATACATGGCTCTTCTTATTTACGGTGTCAAAAATAGAGGTTTCCAGTTAATAAAACTGCCTTAACATTTACATGACTTTGAAGGTCATATTCAAGGTCACGTTCAAGTTACTATTAGATGAATCTTTTAAAACCTTACAAGTATCTCACTCAAAATTTTCTTTATGAAACGTATTTTTCGACGTATTTGGTCCTATCCTTTCTAGATACCCTCAAATACCTATGAAGATATCGGTCAAGGTCACGGACAAAGATATACTTCAACGTAAAATTTCCCGCTTATTACATTACCGGTGTCAAAAATAGGATGTTCATTTAAGAAAACTGTCTCACAATTACTTTGAGGACCATAGTAAAGGTCTTATTGAAGATCACCAATGGATGAATCTTTTCAAATCTTAAAATGTTTATCCTATGTTTTTCTATAGGAAACATGTTTTCGAGATATTTTGATCTATCCGTCCTTTTTGACGCCATATACATTTTCGCGTATATAACCTTCCTTCGGTTTCAGTTACTAAGTTTACAAATTTTTACGTCTTTCAGTATTGTGGTTGTTGTGTGATGTCGACACACTGGACAGACATTTCATAAAACGTTCAATTTTACGACTTAGATGTAGACGTAGTGTTTGCTCTTTTTGTATAGTATTTTCCAAAGGAATAAGCAAGATAAAAATATATTTTAAAAGAGAGTACATTTTCGGGGCGGGCCTTTATAATAAAGAAATTGTGCTTATTTTTATATTTCTTGTCAAGTCTGTGTTCTTTCAAATACAATACAAAAAAAAAAAAAATTGGCACATTCCTATAGCAACTACGATCTTATCGATTTGATGTTAGTGTGCGGTCAAGATATTATTGATACTTTCAGATCTTTATTCGGAATGTTTCTGTCCCAAGCCGCATAGGTTTATTTATTCGTGCAAAGGACGTCGAGCTGGACACGGTAGAAAACCTAGTTAGCTCAGAAAGATGCCTTAAGTAGAATTTAACAAACAGCTACAAACAGTATTTACGTCCAACATGTGACAGGGCAGTGCTTGAAATATTTTTACAAATAAATAGTCAGTACTTGTCTTCACTTTTTTTACGTTTTTGCTGCATAGTAGTTTTGTTATTTAAACTTAGTTTTTTCAGAAACGGAAAATCTCAACTTTCAGGACACCCTGTCCGAGGGATGTCTTTTAAGTTTTGCATATAGAAACATAGTAGGCCGCGCGGATCGAACGTCAGTACTGAATCTTAACCTCACTCTTTAGTAAACTTAAATACAATGTTTCACAATAATACGTGTTCTCACTACAGTGAATTTTTAAGTGTCACCAAGTCATTAGAAAAATGGAACTCAACCGAGAACATTTTAGCGCCATAATTTATTACAACTTTCAGAGACAATTATCGCAACAAGAATGCCTTGCTGAGTTACTGTCTGTTTTCGGCAACGAAGCGCCACATCAGTCGACAATTTCCCGTTGGTATGAAGAATTCAAACGTGGACGGGTGAGTCTTAGCGACGATCCCAGGGTGGGTGCACCAAAAACGGCAGTCACCCAGGAAAACGTCGATGCTGTGCGCAAACTCATCATTGAAGATAGACATGTGACATATCGCGAGATTGAGGCGTCCTTGGAGATCTCAAAGACCTCACTTCAAATAAAATTTACATGAAGAATTAGGAGTAAGAAAATTAGTTTCTCGTTGGATACCCCACCTGTTGACTGAAGAGCAGAAAGCAGCCAGGGTTAATTGGTGTCAAAAAACGCTTGAGCGTTTCAATTCCGGAAACTCAAAAAATGTGTACAGCATTGTTAGTTGTGATGAATCGTGGATTTACTATTATGAACCAGAAAATAAACGACAGTCGGCTGTTTGGGTGTTCCACGGTGAAGAAAAGCCAACAAAAGTCAGTGTTTCGAAAAAGATGGTCACTTCGTTTGTGTCAAAAGCGGGTCATATTGCAACAATTCCTCTTAATGAGCAAAGAACTGTTACTGCAGATTGGTATACCACCATTTGTTTGCCAAAAGTCATCACCGAGCTTCGAAAAATCAACCCCGAAAGAAGAATCATCCTCCACCAAGACAATGCAAGCTCGCACACAGCCCAAAAAACAAGGCAGTATTTAACGGAAGAGAACGTGGAATTATTGGACCATCCTCCATATAGTCCCCATCTAAGTCCTAACGATTTCTTTACTTTCCCGAAAATTAAAACAGACTGCGTGGTCAAAGGTTCCAGTCACCAGAAGAAGCAGTTGACGCATTGGATATGCCAGCAAACGAGTGGAATAAGTGCTTCGAAAATTGGTTCGAGCGCATGCAGATGTGTATTAATCTTCGTGGAGAATACTTCGAAAAACAATAAAGTCATTTCCCTCGTACTATCCAACATATTTGCTAGTATTACCTTTATTATACTGCTATCATTGTACTTCATTTGACACCTCTCTAGTGGTATAAAAGGGGGTACTACACAGCTTAACCTCGGAGGTTTCTTTCTGCAGCTAGATTTGGCCATTATACCCCATCCTAGAATCATAGGGCTAAAAAACGCACTTGATTTAAAATGTTCTACAATTACTCCTGTTCCAAAAGTGCAGAATTCTGAGTTATATACAAACATGCGGCCTATTAATGCACTGCCAGATGTCGAGAAGCTCTTAGAAGGAATCACATAAGAACAAGTCATTGAATATATTGAAGAAAATAAGATATTGACAAAATTTCAAGCAGGATTCAGAAAAAAGTATTCTACTGAAACAGCAATTCAAATGGTAACATTGTTCTTAGATTTCAAGAGAGCATTTGAGACTATTGACAGGGAGAAATTGTTAACGAAATTGCATCGCTATGGATTTCAAGATTCAGTATTGAACTTATCACAAAATTATTTAATCACTAGAAGTCAAAGAACTAAAATTGGCAATACATTATCAAACATTAAAAACATTTCGGTAGGTGTGCCACAGGGTAGCAAATTAGGTCCATTACTATTTATTTTATACATTAACGATATTCCTGATATTTGACAACACTGCAAAATTCAACTATTTGCTGATGATACATATATATGATGATGATGGCAAAGTCCATTGAAAGTTAGAGAGAATTAAAAAAAGTATAAAGAGTCCTCTTTGCTTAAATTTTGTCGAAGTACCCAACAAAAGGCGGAAGCTTTAATTTTTCACCTAACTGATCTAGACGACAATGACCACGTCTCAAGTTATATATATATATATATACAGGGTGACTTTGAAGCTCAGTCATTAATTTTCAGATAATGATTGTAGAAGGAACTTAAACCAAGATATGTGTGTAAAAATAAAAAAAATTAAAAAAAATGTTACCTTGTTTTATAAAGTATCCTCCCGACAAATATTTCAGTGCGGACCTGTATTTGATCGTGCGGTCTTGGAGCACCGGCATGCTCTCCCCTGTGAGGTCTTAAGTCACCTGATTCACGAGCCCTTTTACTACATTAACAAAGGCACGAGGGGTTGGTTGCACTCGATTGGGAAACCGATTCGCACAAATCTGTGATGCCGCGGCAGCATTTTGTAAAGACTCCCCCCCGTAAATAAGAATCATGTCCACAAGTTCAGCATTTTCGTAAACATGTGCCATTTTTCATTTCGTTTGAGTCACGCAACAAACACCACTATTCACTCACGCGTTTACCGACTGACGAAAAACATCGTGATAAACGTTTCAAATTCTTTCGCTTTTTTGTTTCCGATGCGATGAACCGATAAGGCGGATTATATCCGTTGTCGCCAAACACGAGCACATAATATTATTATTGAGACAGGGCGGTACTCAAACTTCTAAAGGGCTATAACTTTGTTACTTTAATTTTACCAGAAAAATGTTAAAGGAAAAAACATTTCTTTTGATCAGATCTACTCACTGTTAAAATAAATGACTCAACTTCGAAGTATATATATATATAACAAAAATTTTCTCTGTTCTATATATATATATATATATTATATATATATATATATATATCAAATAAAGACATTGAAACTGCAATAGAGCTGTTAAATAATGATATGAAAAACGTAATAAATTGGTTAAATGTAAATAAACTTAAACTAAACCCAAACAAATAAAATATATGCTAATAGGAAAATCTTTAGATCAAAATACGATAAATCTTACAATTAATCATGAAAAAATTGTGTCAATCGAATTATTTAAATATTTGGGCATATACGTAGACAGTAAATTAAAATTAAAGGGAACTATGAATATATTATTTCAAAAATATCCAAGAAAATAAATTACTTTTATAGAATTTCGCATATCCTAAAAAAATTGTTCATTCTTCCTCATTTGTTATATTGTTCGACTATTTTGTTCACTACAAATAAACTATATTTTCAAAATTACAAATATTACAAAATGAGAATCATCTTAAATAAAAATAAATATACTAGAATACATTTTATGCTGAAAGGACTACAATGGTTAAATATCAAAAATTTCATAGTCTACTTGGTTTAGATTTTCATATTCAAGTAAACAATTTTTATTGTGTTGAACAATGAGTGACACAATTATTCTACTAGAGGAAGTATAGACTTTCATTTACAAAACTGCAGAAGCAATATAACGAGCAAGTCAGTATTTCAAAAGAGATTGCACGAATTTAATAAATAAGTAATGACATCAAGATGTGTGTCAGTTTGAAAATGTTCAAAGGGAAATTGAAAAAATATCTCATGGAAAGCCAGAATACATAGTAGTGAAATTTTGTATAAAAATATGTAGTCTTGAAGACATAATATATTTTGTGATATACTGTGTAATCTGGATATTATAGACATTGTAGCATTAATGCCAAATAAATCTGAAACAGAACTAATCAAGAATTTTAAAAAAACCGATATTACATAACTTCTCTAATATTTCTCAAAACCAGTTTACACATTTCTACTCTTTCAAAATGGTTGTGTGAAGCTATAGTTCTTTTCGTGGTTTGTGGTGGTTATTTCACAATGTCAAATAAGTAAGCAGATTGCGTAGCTTAACGTTCCTAAAATTGCATATTGCTCAAGCCGATCCGATACGCAGCTGCTACTCGCTGTTGTACACACATGAATTAGACCAAGAAATAGGGAGACTTTGTATAAGGAAAACCTAGAAATTGGGCGATAGGCGTTTGATTGAAAATCAAGATCATATGTAAAAAAGTAATATAAAATTTTTTGTAAGGAATTGAGTTCTTCGTCATTTTGCTTTTATAAAAACGTGTCATAATTATAGTCAACAGATTACGAGCGATCAAACGGTAAATCCACATGTGATGATACTTCTGCTTGTTTATTTTATTTCATGTATTTATGATTCCCAACAAGTTACACCTAATTACAGGAAATATACCAACAACGAAAATAAATCAACAATTTAACAACAGCGGAGCATGAAAAAAGAAAACACAAATAAATGTATAAGAGTGTGCCAGTATTTGAAAAGTGGAAATAGCTTTATATTGATTATACATATATCTCACGAAGGTACCAATCTCGGTAAAAATTCAATACAGAGTTTTCTCGATCACATTTAAACACTTACACATATAGTTTAACGGTGATTTATACCCGATATTTGCATTACAAAGGTAAAACAAGTCATGACAGCGGCTACCTGACCTAGGGACGCAAAAATTAATTTTACTTAATATTACGGAACAATCTTAATGACGATAAATCGTGCTTTAGTTGTAACGACTCAACTTCAAAGATTCTTAACAGTACCGAATCGTCAAAACCTCTTTTTGGGTAGTGACCGTGACACAAAATATTTAAGTGCCTTATGCTGGACGCACTATGCTAGCTCTGTACTTTTGATAGGTAACGACTTAGGCACAACACTGTGGAATGGTGAAAACAGGGATATAGAGCCATATATGAAGAGCTGCAGTTTTAAAATTCAGCTCACAACTGAGAACTACTTGAGAACCACGATGATCGAACAGACACTATCTGATGTATAAATTCTATCAATGGAAGCGGAAATTGGGGCTGACGTTAGTTATGAAACAATTCAGTAAGGCTAAAAGCCCGAAAGTTCGTCTACTTTATTTTGTGATGAACTATTTATTTAATTTTTGTCAAAATATTTATGATTAGCAATAAAACGCATATGTGTATAACTAAGATCATTTGATTTAACGTTTTTTTATTTGACTAGAATATGGAAGGGGTCTCGCAAAGCTGATGTCGCCGACGGCCATATATATGGTCTAGCACCGCTACTGATTTCTTGGTATAATATATGTTAACCACTAGAATCATACATATTTCAATTACCTTTCGCATCTTTCATTTATATCTTCATAACGTTCTGTAGGTAACTGAACATATTTGACGTTGTCGCTTTCTGGAATTGGTTCGTCCAATCTAATCAATTGGATATCATAGTTCATTCCATCAGTTTCGTATAAAGGATGGGAAAGTGTGTAATTTATGTTGCGCACGTGTACGTTTTCTAAAGAGTCCAAAGCTTGGATAGATATACCAGCTACCACTATGTCCACTTTCCTGCATTGGGCTGCAGTCAACACCTGTAAGAGGTGGAATAAGCGTTTAAGTTTATCCGTATAATGCAAATAGCGTCAAATAGGTCGACTCTGTACTTTCCACACAACGCATCATCAGTTCATAAAAAATGATGATCAGCGCAAGTTAAACCCTATAAGAAGAAATTTGGTTACGAACGTGTGTAACAGGGAAATTAGACGGATCAAGTTAGTCAAATCAAATAGCGCCATATGATGCGTTAGATTCGGCAGTACCGCAGTGTTGCAGTACTGCCGAGATTGGGATGCCCACCGGTGAACCTAGAGAGAAGAAGCAAAAACGCGTTTCGCAAACATTTCTCTATTATTTTGAGAGCAGTTGTTAGGCTAAGGACGTGACGGTATCTGGCTTCGCCCTAGTCCATAGCCTTGATACGTGGCCTTGTATGTCCGTAACAATCTTCTTTTGGATTGGTTATATCAAATTGTTGGAACCTAGTTAAGCCCTGCCAGGTCGTTGCACTGATAACGACGTGTAGTTTCCTGCTAGGTTCAAGATGTGTATAAGTATGTTTGTTTAAATGTTACATTTTTTGATTGCCTCATTGTTAGATGAACTGTTTTGTGGCTGTTCTTTACACGCCACACACGGGATCTAGTCATATTATTTGGCCTTACTTCATTATCCTGGAACCCTAGACTAGTCTTTGACCATTTAGATGAAATCCAGTCAAGCTTGGCTGTCAAGAAGTTAACAAAAATACTCCTAGAATAGCACTTGTTTTGGGCAACGCGATATTTCAATGGTAGAAGAAATGTATGCTTACCCAGCTTTCATTGATTAGTGTGCCAGCACATCTTAAACGGTAAGAATCATTACTGCAGATGCCAACTATATGGCGTTGCTCCGCTAAACATAGCTGTTTACTATATCTTTCTACCACCACTTCTATTGAAGCAGCGTGGCAGTGATATACTAAATAGAAGAAAATCAACAGATGTCTCATTGTAAGTAAATGCATAATTTGTGATTGAAAAATGTCATTTTGACGAATCGAATCATTTAACCTTAGATGCGCCTGTGGCATATTTGGCAGATCACGGGCGTTGGTTGCTGTGGCAGCGATGTCCATTGCTACTATACTAAGGTCCAAATAATGATCTACCCTGATATGATCTGAAGGGAATACTCCATATAGTATTCCGAAAGAGACGATACATATTGAACTTCTCGACATATCATTGCGCCACCTGAGTCACCTTGACAAACGTCTTTTCCGCCTTTTGATGAAGTACAAATGATCATAGTCATAGAAACAGTCACCATATTATACCACACAGAATATCTGTGAAGGTTACTCACAAAAAGTACTGCAGTGGGACTCAGTTGGCCCTTTGATTTACGTAAGAAGCAGCAGCGGTAAAAATAATTAACAGACATAATATCATATTAACATAGTTATATATACACATATCAATACAATGGTCGAAACAGCCTGAATGGTCATGCTACACGCTCTGTAATCTGCTCTTGTGTTATCTATGAAATTCAAATAGTTGTCTACTCTGGCATAAACTCCTGGGTATTTAGTAGCGCATTTCATACCAAATGAAACGACTCCATATTGAATGCCGTTGCAGATCATAGGGCCTCCTGAGTCACCTCTGCATGCATCTTTTCCCTCGCCTGACGTGCACACTACCTACAATAAAACCTGATTTAAGAGACAATCTGTCCAAAATGGTATTTGGAAGTCAAAGTATTTTCGGAAATAAATCGAAGAAATTGTCGCTTTTTTCTGACACACTTGCGGTTATGATAATAATAAAATGAAATCCTTATCGATTTTGTAAAAGAAAATATTTACAATAAAAAAGAAATTAAAAATAGGGACAGCTCATATTCATAGTGCTACTTATAAAACGCCCAATTCCATGAAACGTTTTTAAAATTATATCTTGCAATAAAGTCAATTTTCATACCATAGTGAGCATTGAGAAAGAATAAGCTGATTTCAACTTTAGGTATGAACTTTTTACGAAAGCTAAATTTCATAGCAAATTTTTACAAATGTTTGTCCTACCAGATTGGAAGTCTGACAAAATTATGTACACTAGTACCAACTCGTAGCTAAAAGCTATTTCAAAGTACCTAAGTGGTTTCAACAGAAAACAATGAAGAATTAGATATAAACGCAGGGGTACCTCAAGGTTCGGTATTAGGTCCAATCCTATTTTTAGTCTATATCAATGACTTATTGAATGTTAAATTCATAATTTTTGCTGGCGATACCACAATACACGCAGACACATATACACCTTCGGAAAAACCATTATTATACATTATGATGAGGAAGAGAGATGGAAATATACAAAAGTATGTAGGTGCGTGAAAGACACTCGATTGTAGGATCCTATCTGGCAGCGTCGGAGTGTGACGGACAACAGGGTAAAGTAGAAGAGTGATAAAAGAGAGATGGCAGAACGGGCGCTGGCGCCTGCCGCTTAGACGGATGCGCTCAACAAATGCGATTTGTTTCTCCCATTCGCAGAGTTGCCGATACCAATATGTCATATTTCTAAGAAATCTAAGTCTACCCAAATTTCGGGAAAAATAGCTGCGGATTCCACATCAGAGTATTCCAAAAATGAAAAAAGTTCAAACTATTAAAATTGTATTAATGTTTCATGGTTCAAATCATATTTTTCATGTTTGCATATTGTTGTATAAATGATTTTGTAATCCCTATTCTTTTTTTTTTTGGCATTGGAAGTTATCCATTTGCCACAGATGTGTGTTACTTATATTTCTCTAATTATGGACAAACACACGACGTCACAACATCCATGGCGAAGGCGAGATTCGAACTCGCGGCCCGGCCGGCCGGCTGATCAGTAGCACGACACTCTGACCAACGCGGCCAACCGAGGCCCCCATCCCTATTCTTGTTGCCAGTAGAGATACAACAGTATTGAGAGAAATCATGGACCGCTAGATAGGGCTACAACTACCATATGACTATCAAATAGTAGTGATACACAGGGTTTGTTTATAGCACAGTTGCCTGGTATGGCGAATTTACGCCATAGGGGCGATTTGACAACTTTGAAGGAGAACTATAACGGGTACTATGGTGCCCAGTATTCGGGAATCTGGCAATACCTGATGATTCCTAACGTTTATTACGCCAGATTGTTTGCTGACTTGCGCAGTACAACATGACAATCAACGTGACTGAGCACCTGGTAACCCTGGTTTAAGGTGTTATATTTAAAGAGCTTGGGGCAGTTAGGTATCTAGGTCACATTTTTTAATGTATTTCGAAAAATCCGTAATGTTGAGTAAATACTAGATCACGTTTCTTGCTTAGTTTGCTGAAAATTCTACAATAGACGTACATTTTGAGAAACAGAGATTTGGTGACGACAAAATCGTAAAAATATAACGCATTTTCGTAAAATAATTTCTTTGTTGAAAAGACTGTGGCTTGATGACCCATTGAACGAGTATAGTGTCCCGCTCCGCTTTGAATATTCGAAACACTATACTCCAGCAGCATTCAGCTTCAATGTTATCTTTATGAAGTTCTAACGTCTAGGCCATGCTGATTAAAAGCTTGAATGAATCAACACTCAACTCTAAATTCCCCACAATTCGGGAAGCTCTACTCAAATTGGCAACACAGCGTATCTGCCTATTATTCTCATTCGTGATACAGGTCTGCGGTCTGCTGCAAATTTCAGTATGCGTTGAGTCGACAGAAAAAGTACAGTAGATGCGCGCATTACGCACCAGTTCGATTGGACGTCCTGTGAACCGATTTCGGTGATTTCGAGATTTCACGAAATCACCTAAATCACTCTACTTATTTTTATGAATGGATAATTGGTTTTGTAGCAATAAAGGTTACGTCTCATAATAAAAATAAGAAGATACCCACTCTAACAAAAAATAGTACACTCTTAAAAATGTGTAACGAAATAAAAAGATATGCTAACAAAAAAATAAGTTCTCAAAAATAAAACGCAATAATGAACACAAATGTTTCAAATGGTCCTTCACAGCTGGGGCTCAAAAACGTCTCCTTCATTTAATGAACAGTATGTCAGGCGGTTATAAAACTCCTGACGAACTCTCAAGAGGGTAGAAGGCTGTATTTGACCGAGCGCTTCAACGATTTTCACCTGTAGGTTATGCAAATTGTCTGCTCTCTCATTGAAAGTGTCAACAGTACTTTTCACATAACCCCACAAGAAAAAATCATTGGGCGCTAGATCGGGTGATCTAGGAGGCAATTTTATTGTTCCGTTACCGCCAATAATCCGGTGGCCGAACACACTTTCAAGGTAAGTGTGTACGATCGCCGCATTATGCGCCGGGCATCCATCTTGTTGGAACCAAATATTATCGAGATCAATGCCAAGCTGCCTAATTGCAGGAACAATCTGCGTATGTAGTAACACCAAATATTTTGCAGCCGTAAGAGTTCCATCAATAAAGAACGGTCCGATAATGTTATTACCTAGAATTCCTGCCCACACATTCAGTTTCTGTGGATACTGCGTGCGGACGGGAATACTGAAGTGTTTATTTTCCCGAGACCAATACCGAAGGACTGAAGGATTGTGATGACCTTGGAGAGGGAATGTGGATTCATCAGTAAACAAAATATTACCAATAAAACTTCTATCCCTGTTCGCCTTCTCCATGACCGTTTTACAAAACTCCATTCGACGGTATTTGTCTAAAGGAAGTATTTCTTGAACCGTTCCAACCTTGAAGCTATGATAGCCGTTGCGATGCAAAATATTTCTTGTTCTTCTGGGTGTGAGATCGGCTATTGGTACCATTTCAGCAATTTTCTGCTTGAGCATGGCTCAGATACTTCTGCAGCGACACAAACAGCAGTTTCGTTCTCCTCCCTTTTCTCGCTAATTTTTGGTTTCCAACCTTCAGGGTGCATGCAGCTATGGCACTTATGTAAGCAGCCCACCCTCTTGAATTTTTCGTAGGTATTTGTAACCGTTGCGTGAGACGGAATTAGCCGATCTGGGAAGCGTACCGCAAATAATTCAACAACCACGCGTGCTGAATTATTCTGGATGTACCATTCTATCATTTGAAACTTTTCTTCTTGCGAGTACATTTTTAAGATATTTTGGATTAAATAAAGACGCACCTTTCCTACACAAAACCCAACCGCAGAGTGAGTCATGAATCCCTTATCGCACTTGACGGCACGCGCGTTAACCGTAGGAAATATGTACGAATAGCGATGAAAGTAGACGAGCCGATGCGCTGTTGCCAAGAAATGATTTCCCATGTATAACAATGGTTTTTCCTAAGGTATAAATGGAATTAGGACAAAAATTAATGATACAATCAATCAAAATATGGTATGACAATAGTTACTCAACTTCCAATGTTTATAAGACAAAATTATGAAATTTAAATGCTTCCTTGATCTTATAAACTTAATGAATTGATACATAAAACAGACACCCTCAAATGTTTTGAGACTGAACATTGATCACAAATTAGATTACATTAATCATGTCGACAAATTGCTTACTCAACTAGCAAAGAGTTCCTTCGTTATAAGAACAACTAGCTAAAACATATAATTAATAGCACAGCCTTAAGCAGCCACTTTGCTTCAATTGAATGTAGATTGAGATATAGCATTCCCATTTGGTGTCTGCACGTGTCATACGTGATACGTCGCTTCCCTTTGCGGACTGTCATTTGATTATGTGCGAACTAAGTGATGAGACTGGCAACGTAGCGTTCGATCTGGCAACACTAGAGGCACCGGACTTGGGGACATGTGATCCGCCTTCAGTACAAGTTTGAACTCGCTCGAGTATTATGGTTGAAAATATAAAATTTTAATTATATTTGAATAAAGAAAAAAATAAAATAATCAATCTAACCACTTAATTTGCAGACCTCGTATGTCAACCAAGTAAATCATATGATTTGCCCTATATGTCTATGTATAATAAGCTGGTTCACTGCTCTGGTGGTGTAGACGATCTAAAGACACAACAGTCTTAGTTTATCGAAGTCTGATTTTGAACCTTATACTCACAGTATCTGGATTTCTTCTACTGTGATAGTAATGTAAACAATCTTTACTAGAAACTACATCTAGAGTGACACACTGAAGTCTGGAAGGTCTTTTTCTTGTGTGATAGTCTAGCCAACCCCATCCCATAACTATGGCTCTGAAACCAAAGGACAGGTCTGTTTTCTAATAAGATATACAAAAAATCGTTTAGGGATTATTAGTTAAATGCCATGTGAAATTGTGAATATGATAAGTCTAAAAGTTAAATTCCTTCGAAAACGATAAGCTTTTTTGGAGTTCATATGACTTCTGTGAATATAGACGTCAAAAGAGGGTTGAAACGTAAGTCCCTCTAAGTCTAAGACATTGTTGCTTTCACCAGAAGGAAGAAATTATAGATGCAAGGACCTCTATGCCCTCTGGGAGAGCAGATATAACTGTCGGGGGAAGTCAAGTATCTAGGGGTAATACTAGACTCCAAACTGATCTGGGACCCGCAGATTAAACGGAGAGCGGAGTCGACTTTAATGTTAATCAGACGCTCTCATGTGAGTTGAGCCCTCCTATGAGGCACTGGACGTACATAATGGAGGTAAGACCCATGATAACATATGCATCTCTGGTGTGGTGGCCAAAGATGAGACAAAGCTCTGCCATTGCAAAATTAAGCAAGGTACAAAGACGTGCTTGTCTGTCGTTAAGGCCCGTATCGTCAGTCGTCCCTACAATTGTAGGGCGCGTTTATGGCCTCCTTGATTGTCATACTCCTTTCTCTCCTTCAAAAACTTCTAGATTACACTTGTTCCGTGTCAGCGTCAGAGCTCTCCTATTGTGAAGATATGATTTCTTTTTAAATTGTAGGAAATTTCAGGCTGATAAAACAGGATATAACTCAAAAGCAAGCTCAATTTGATGCAAATAGATGTTTGTGACATAACCTCAAAATAGAGTTCTGACACGGAAAAGTAGAAAACTATGACAATGAAGGAGGCCATAAACACGCCCTACAATTGTAGGGACGACTGACGATACGGGCCTAACAGGTATAACGAAGAGCTCTCCAACTGCAGCACTTGAAACCATGCTGGTCCTCCCGCCGAAGAGAAGATATGAGGACCTTGGGCATAATCAAATAAGATAACATGTAAAAAGTGACATACTCGATGCGAGGAAAGACCACATAGTTCCCAGATTTGTATTCAAAAAGAACTCCCAGAACAAAATATCTGGCGGGTCAAAAACTGAGCAGGGCGCAGGTGGAGGTGTATATGGGAACAGGTGCAATCCTGAGCATCGTATACCGCTTGGAAGATAAACCTCTGTGTTTCAGGTAGAAGTATCAGGTAACCAAATAAGTTCGTGCGGTTTTTAGTAGAAAAATAAAAATTTTTATTGAGAAACAATAAGACACTATTTATTCTTCGAATAATTACCATCACATTCAATGACCTTTCGCCAACGTGGAACCAATTTTTGTATGCCGGTAATGTAGAACTGAACGGACTGCATTTATTACACCATCTCGAGTTGTGAACTGTCGGTACCTCATGCAGTTGTAAAGAGACAAAAAAAGGTGATAATCGCTGGGCGAAATGTCGGGAGAGTATGACGGGTGCGGTAACGTATCCAAGCCGAGTTCAGAAATTTTTCCCGGGTCACTTTTGCGGTATGAGGTTTGGCGTTATCCTGCAGGAATATCACTTTTTTCCGATTGATCAAAGAAGGCTGTTTCTGCTGCTTGTACTCGTTAAAGCTGCTTACAAGTTAGCAGTGATGGTTTGATCCCTTTCCAAAAACTCATAATGGACAAATCCAGTTGCTGTCCAAAAAACACACAACAAAACCTGGTTAGGGTGCAAGGAAGCCTTGGGCGTGTGTGGTACCGAATCAGTAGGCGACAACCAATGATACGAACGCTTAGAATTCGAATACAAGATCCAATTTTCGTCGCAGGTTAATAACCGATTAAGAAATGGTTCATTAGCGTTGCGTGAAATGTTTGCTGAGCAGATGGTAAGACGACTTAATTTTTTATCATTTGTCAGTTCATGTGGGACCCATTTGCTTAACTTCCACGTTTTTCCTAGCTGATGAAGATGCAAACGAATAGTTTCAGGACTCACTCTGAACATTTCTTCAAGTTCTTGGCACGTTGGCCTGGAATTTGCGTCCACAACCTGTCGTTAATAATTTTTGGTCTCCCTGAGCGCGGTCCATCGCTCAAACTGATATCTCCCGAAGAAAATTTTTTTAACCACTTCTATGCTGTTTGATCACTAACGGCATCATCTCCGAATGCGGTACATATTTTTCGCGCCGCCGCTGCAGCTTTTGTACCAAGTTTGTACTCATACATTTTCAGTAATTAAAACTACGTATGTAACAATTTTGAGAAACTTGTTATGTGTGTGAGAAAAGAGGGATTCATATTAAAGTGACAACAGGTAACAAACAATCGCTATCGATCAACAACATCCATGGCAATCTGCGATATTCAGCAAACGCACGAACTTATTTTTTTACCTGATATATGCAATTTTACACTGTGCAATCAGGTAACGTAGAAAATGAAAGGGCAGACGAGCTCGCAAGGAAAGGACCATTCACACTCTATAAAGGTCCAGAACCTGCCTTGGAGGTGCCATAAAGCACAATCAAGTGAAAGAATGGGTAAGAAACCAGCATAAGGAACACTGGCACTTAAGTGACTGGATGTGGGCATGGGAAATGATGCACCTCGAGACCATTTCCAAACAAGACTGCGGAACTGCTCTCAGTGAGTATAACTCCGCGCAATTACAGGGCTTCTTACAGAACAATGGTCTGAAAGAACACCGGAACAAAGTCAGGCTGAGTGCGAGAGGCGCTGAACCACAAAAGACGTCAACTCTTCGGGAAACGAAAACTAGAACCGAGAGAGTTTAGAACAGTACCGGGAGGAAAACTGTACCAACTGGTACAGAACAGTACACTACTGGGTAGAGCACTGTAAACTCGAGGAACAAGGCAAAATAAGCCCTAGAGGTTGCAGTGCCATCGAGGACTTTGATCGGACGGCTCTCGGAAAGGATAAAAAAGAAATAGACTCCCATAAAGTGCATTCTGAATGTTCACAGTTATTTATATGAACAAGTAGTTCCAAAGCTTCCCCTCAAAAGCTAATACGCAGAATTTTCCACTAATGCTGAGACGTAATAAGCTCTAGTGTGACGTAACAATCTGTCTATAGACATTCTTTCCCTGCCCTATTGGTAGTTACCGTCCATCTGGAGCAGCGTGGCCCCTTCATATCGTCAGACGCGGCAGCACCCACCGAAGCACCGCCGTAGTACAAGCAGAACAATCAAGCAGACCGTGATGCCGGGCGATGAGCCCAGATAGCAGAATGAGTCGCATATCAAAAACATTTCTCTATCATTCTGTTTTAAAGAAAAATTGACGGGAAAACCTGTGAAATATGACTAATAAAAAATTTCATCCAACTGCGAGCGGTACTTTCCAAGTTATAGACGAGCCAATAGAAATCAAAAAGAACGCAACTTTTTCCTAATTTAATCTAAGCTGTATCTCCTACTGGTATTGAGATCCCCATGCCTTACAGCAGGGTACTGTATCAACCTTTTCGCGACGATAATTCTAGTAATCACGTGAAACAATGAAAACTAATATTTGGATGGCTTAGGACCACGCTGCCGCTTAACACTTACCTTTTACTGCCTATGATTTTACACAATTCTAAAGAGTTCTTGTATCATCCGCTCTTTCAATTAGGATTAAATCGAGTCTTTACTTACTGCGTACACCACTTGTGTATATCGTCATCTAGCTTGGTGGTAGGCAACTGGACGTATGAAATTGTGGCTGTCTCTTTAATAGGTTTTTCAAGTCTGATTAGTGCAATATCGTTGAGCAGATCATCCTGCTGGAAATCTGGATGTGTGATGCAAGCCTCAATTGTAGTCACCGTCACGGAATTTGAAATATATTCTTCCACCGGATTGGTGGAAATACCGGCCATGGCGTATCGCAGGCGGACCATGGTATTGCAACAGTGGGCAGCTGTTAGCACCTGCGACAATAGTATAATCACGAAATAAATGCCAAAAGAACCCGCTACCAAGCAGTTGTTTTTACGACCACCTATCCTTGTCGCTGCTAATCCCCCAAGCGAATGCTGGGAGAAGACAGAGTTTTAGTACCGAGTAGCATAAATTCTTTTTTTTTTACTAAATTTAGTAATTTTTTTGAAAGAACAGTCAGTCCGCTGCGATGTTACAGATCATAGCTGAAGCAATACGCGTTATTTTATGTAGTGTGATTTAGATCTCAGTTGACATTTCCATATGGCGAGTAACTGTTGAATAACAGTGCTTTAGATGCTTCAAGGATATAGAAAGGCTTAGTCCCAAGTACCCCTGGAAATCTAGCGTAACTGCGCGATTTACAGAAAGCTTTCGACACAGTTAATCACAAATTATTATTAGAGGCATTGGAGAGAATTGGTTTCAGAGGAAACGCGTACTCACTGATCGAAAGTTATTTGTCAAATCGCCCACAATCTGTGCAGATATCAGGATCATTTAGTAAAGAAATGTATATTAAGTGTGGTGCCCCACAAGGAACTGTCTTAGGTCCGCTGTTATTCAATATATATTTAAATGATATTTTCCAAATTAATTGTGTTGGCAAAATAACTAGTTTTGCAGATGATTCTGCAATATTATATGAAGGCACTGACTGGTCTGATCTGAAAAATGTAATTGAAAATGATTTTATCAAAATTATTCGGTGGTTTAACAGTAGAAAATTAAGCATTAACTACTCTAAAACACATTTTTTACCATTTGGATCTTATGCTAGACATCTGCCAAATTACACAAATTTCTCCTTCAATATTAATGATCAAAAAATGCAAATTAATAGAGTGCCCAACATAAAATACCTTGGAGTGGTCTTGGATCCTTACTTACGATGGGACATCCATGTCAATTATATTTTAAAGAAAGTTAGATTTGTATCCTACAAAATTAAATACCTTGGGAATATATTGACAGAAAAATATCTTCGAACATTATACCATGCACTGATTGAGCCTCATCTCACATATGGTATATTAGCATGGGGAGCTGCATATTCCTCACATATCTATAATTTAGATGTTTTTCAAAAAAGTATTCTAAAAATGATATTTAAAAAACCGAAACTTTATCCCACTGAAAAATTATACGCAGATGTTCGAATGTATGATATAAGACAGCTTTATTTCTTACACAGTATCACTCACTACCATAAATTTGTAAACACCGACCAAAAAATTAAACATAATCATTATACCAGGTACAAAATTCGTGGCACAGTAGTTCCTCAACCGCATAAATCTATAATGCAGCGATCATATCTCTATTTAGCGCCTAAATTTTATGAAATTATACCTAAAGACTTAAAAGATTTACGTTTCGGAAATTGTTTCAAAAGAAATTTAAAAAAGTGGCTACATTCTATATCTAGGACTGAAATTCATAAACTCATAAATACGAACATCAACTAAATACATAATCTGCTGTAGCTAATTTTTGTCCCTTTTTGTTATTTGCATTCTACAGTTTCAACTTAAATTATTGGTCCATGTACAGGCGATGCCTTCTATTGGGCCTGTTTTGATTTTATATTTATTTACTCATATTGTTTGTTATCTTTGTACATTGAGTGAATAAATATTATATTATTATTATTATTATACCGGGTGTTTCAAAGAGGTACGAAGTCGCTTAAATTGAGGCAGTGACGTATTTGGGTAATTAACAAAACGCTGCTTAGAACGTTTCGACATTCAAAGTATTTCCGGAGAGAGACGGAAGAAACAATTTTCTCAAAGTCGTTTTGATTCGTTCCTGACTTTATTTTTAGTGGAATTTATGAATAAACGGCTCATTAACATTGCCACTTTTTGTCCTCTACAAAATGGAATTATTTGAATTTCAATATGACGTTTCATCATCTCTTGTCCTCCAGCATCAACTTAATTTTTTCTTATAGACGATTGGATTTTTGCGCTTTTTAATACTGATTGCAAAAACGTTTAATATTTCATACATTGACATTGTCAAACCTTAGTTGTTTAAAAAAAACAGATTTTTTTAGGTTGGCCTTGACATTATCAGATAGTCATTTGTTGAACAATGTACAGAGAAGAGTCCAGATTTGCCTACAAAATAACGAGCAACAGTTCATGGTCAACTGAGAAAATATAAACATCACTAAATTGAGGACTAAATGCTCCATTTAAATTTACAAAATTCCAATATAGCATCCATATGAAAAAACAAAGTTGGATATGGAAGTCGAAAGAAGACATCTCGAATTGCAAATTTGACTACGCCATTTTGTAATAAGATAATACAATAATAATCATAAATAAGCAGAGGTAAATCATAGCAGATATTCGCAGTGTGGTACGTTATTTTGTAGGCAACGCCTGACTCTTCCCAGTACATTTTTCAGAGCTCAGTTTATTACGATTTTGCGATAAATCTACGGAACAAATCTATCTATTTCAAAGCCCACCTAGGAAATTCTGTTTTTTTTTTGAATAACTAAGGTTCACCAATGTCTATGTATGACATATTATACATGCTCGGTAGGTTATACTCTGATTTTGTTATCATTTCGTGGAAAAAAGAGCAATTATTAATGATATAAGTAAAAGTAGAAATTAATCTTATGCATCATATTCACTTTTTTCGGTATTTTTTTAATGATTTAATTCTACCAACTGATATTATACATTGTGCTTGAAAGGAAAATGGCATTTAATATGCAATTCCACTAAATTTGACAACATACAGGGCTTTGTATTTAGTAAAATACAAGGAATTAAAAAAAACCGAATCCAACCCTGGAATATTGAGTTCACAAAACATATTTAGTTCAATTTTAAGCATCATTTTGTACGTTGTTGATTAAACCAAGTTGTTAAATTTTAAAATTTTGAGTTTTGTGTCAAACATAACAAAAAAAAACAGAAAAGGTGCAATCAATCTATTTTTCTAATTATTAATCAAGATTTGGCATGGTAACATAAAGTTAATTTCCAATAACGTTTTAAAATAAATATTTGGGCGGGTATTCTTGACGATCAGGTAATTGGCCCTTTCAAGTTACCCCCAAAGTTGTCAGAAGGATAGCTTAGCTTTCTAGCCAATAACCTACCAGAACTTTTGGAACAGACCTTAGACAACATGCCATTACAACGGAGACAGAATTTGTGGTTTCTTCATGTCGACGCACCACTACACATTTTTAGAGGCGTCATTCAGTATTTGAATGAACATTATCCAAATTTCTGGATGGGTCGAAATGCTCCTGATCCTCGAAAATGGCCAGCAAGATCTCCTGACCTCAATCCGATGGATTTATAGTATTGGGGACAACTTAAAGGGATGGTTTATGAGGCTGGTCCAATAACAACTGAAGCACAACTTCGCGAAAAAATTTTAATGCGGCTGAAATAATAAATGGACAACTTCGAGGACCTAGAGTAAGAAGAAACTGGGTTCGTCGTAATGAAGCTTGTGTGGAAAGTGGAGGACGACATTTTGAACACCTTCTTGAAATACAAAAAAAGTGCAGTGTGGGTTTTAAACAGAAAAACAATGTATGTATCAAAATTATGTTCCCTATTTATAAGTGGATTTTTTTAATACGTTCAATAAACTTTCACACACCAGGCGAAGCGCTGAGTCAGTTAGTGGTAAGTCCGTTTTTTTAATTGTTTGCATTTTACGAGTACATGATCAAATAATGAAATAATACCTAAGAGCCAAAAATAACAAACTCCATCTTTATTTACACTGCATTCCGTCGTAATTTGCATCTGGCATTGCGGCGTTGTCAGATTTTATTTTACTTTAAAGTCGCTTTTCTCTAAAAAATGCCGTTTTGACCCCCATGTTATATCACCCATTTAAGTAATGACTGTCATAACGCTTACACCCTGTATATCTCCATCTCCCTCATACATACACATGCAACCTACCCCCTGTGTGCACGTTTTTTCGGTAAGCTCAAAGACATACGTTTTGTAGTTGTGTGTCTCCATCTCGAAAACTTTCATTTCGTATGAATGCCCTTCAATCATATTTGTCAGAGTTATCAATCTTCAATGTAAAATTGTAAAATGCCCGGAAATACGATCAGTGGAGAAGGCCGACATCTCGTGCTAAATTCATTGGAGTATTTCCAGGAAGAGAATGAAAACAGCGGTCCCCTGTTACCTACTTCATGCGTACTGGAGAGAGTAGCAGATGCGCTGAAGATTAGTCTGCACAGTGTTCCGCCCATGGTACGGAGACTCGATTTGTTAACTTATTTCATATGGCGTTGATGACGTAACCGCCAAGAAAGGTGTCTACAACTATACCGACCATTTCATTATGTCCATTTAAGTACATGTCGAATGTCGACAAAAAGGACGAAATGGTCGATATGCGAGTATTATATAGGTATTAGTTGATGTCTACATACGGACTGAAAACTTCGTAATATAACATTTTTAAGTACATAAAACCGAGGTATAATTAGTTGTATAACATTTTGCTATTTGTGATTAATTCGATATGTCCGTAGTTGTGAAATTGGAACAAGTTATACAAACTTATATAGGTTTGTATAGATTTTGAACTGATTTGTGTCTTAATCAGCGAAATAACCTACCCATCTGGCTTCCAAAAGACTTCCACCACACTTGACGATAAAAGTTTTATCTGCTAGGGCAACTGCAAACTCGTGTTTCTCGTTGGTACACACTTTACCTCCAACGATTCTTCCTTTTAGCGCCGCACAGTATTGGTTGCACAGTAGTAATAATAAAATAAATTCTGAATGAAATGAGTACATTCTGATTTTGACATTTTGATAACAGCATATTGACAGAGCGATTTTGACAAAATATGGCATAAAAAATCTATTAGGTTCAGTCAGGGTGAATTTACCAATTTAATCATGTACAAGTAGCATTTACATAGAAAAAACGCAGAGGTACAGGTAACAACATAGAAAAACCTATGGAATAAAAACGATTTTCAGTCATGAACTCCTTTAAATTATGTTTAAACCGAACTGTGTTAAATTGACGAATAATTGTTGGTGGATGATTGTATAGATTTAGGCCCGTATCGTCAGTCGTCCCTACAATTGTAGGGCGCGTTTATGGCCTCCTTGATTGTCATACCCCTTTCCCTCCAAAAATTTCTAGATTACACTTGTCCCGTATCAGCGTCAGCGCTCTCCTATAGTGAAGATATGTTTTCTTTTTAAATTGTAGGAAATTTCAGGCTGATAAAACATTATAACTCAAAAGCAAGCATAATTTGATGCAAATAGATGTTTGTGACATAACCTCAAAATAGAGCGCTGACACGGAGAAGTAGAAAACTATGACAATCAAGGAGGCCATAAAGGCATCCTACAATTGTGGGGATGACTGACGATACTGGCCTTAAACTTGGGAAATTCTATTTTGATATCGATAGTGAGAATTTGGGTACCCTAAAGTCATCAGTTATTCTAGTCTGATAAATGTAGAAGTTACAGGTTGTGTGAAGTATTTACGAGGGTGGGGTGAAAAGTTTCCGGCCTGACCAAGAGATGGCGCCACTAGGTGGCGTCCTATAGAACAATTCCCACCAAGCTTGTATGTACAGTTCCAGCCCAATCGCTACGTTAGTTTGCGTTTGAGAGCACATTGCGCGAGACGCGTCCGTTGTTTTCGTAAAAATGGAAAAATTGGAACAACGTGCTGTCATCAAAAACTTCTATTTGAAAGGTTTTACACCAAAACAAATAAAAGAAGAGATGGATTCAACACTAGGAGACTCCTCCCCATCATATTCAACTGTTAAGCAGTGGGTTTACCTGAATTAAAAATGGGTCGTGTGAGCACCTCTGAAGAGCCTCGCTCAGGACGACCCGTTCAGGTGACAACTTCAGAAATGATTGAGAAAATCCATAAAATAATGTTGGAATGTATATATATATCTATTAAAGTGGCATATACAAATAATGTTGGAACAGGCATTATTTCTAAATTTTTAAATTTGGTCTCTGCAAGAATCCTAATATATTGAACCGATCATTGCTTGGATAATGGCTAGTTTATTTTTATTTTACTAGAATTACCCCATAATGATATACCATAGGTAAGCTGTAAATGAAGTAGCCCGAAGTAGCGAGTTTGTAATTCTTGTAGATTGACTTGTGATTTCAATTTCCGCAAATGAAGCGATTTGCTTAATTTTACAGCAAGCGAATCAATGTGATGAACCCAATTCAATAAATAATACTGAACGATTTTTATTAATTAATCAAAAATCGATTTCAGCTGGGAAATGATTTTCTGCGATGAAACGTATTTCAAAAATGTACTCATACATAGAGACAGTTTATAATCCATGTCAAAATTATTGAGCGAACTTCTAAAGGGGTTGTAGCTAAGCTAGAAGGTTGCTGCTGGTATTTTAAACGAGAAGATTTACCAAAAATAAGAGGAAATAATATTTCTTGTTGTGTGCAATATATAATTTTTCCTGATATTTACATCTTAATAGGATATTGATAATACGGTTGGCCATCGGTTTTACTCGAATTATTATTATTAGTATTCTGTACCTCCACTTTTTTATTTTACTTCCCACGCCCAGTGACGAATTAAATGAGAATAATTTCGAAAATGATATATGTCTCTTGGATGTTATCTGACATGTCACTCACTTCCGTAATCTGTCTGTCTATCTAAGGGTCTCTCCGCTACACACAAGGTAACAAGGTAACTACTATGCTAAGGACGAAAAATCTCTCTAGTTTTTGAAAATCGGTCCAGTGGCGGTGGAGCAACAATACGAAAAAATCGCTGAAATCTCGTGTTTTGACGTTGGCGGCTCCTGATGATTTTCAGAAAAAAATTTCTAGGGGTTGAAAATCGAGGGTTAGGAGTTGTAAAGTTTGGGAGGAGGTATATTTCATTTTATTGACGGCAACCCAACCCCAGTAATTTTACGCACCTATCAGTACATATTTCACACATCAAATATTTCCCCGTACTTTTGCCCTTACAACTTTGAGAAATATTTATAGACGGTCGGGACGATGCAATGCAACGGCGACTTTCATACGCCGAATCCTGCCTTGCGTCTGACAGCGCTTATTACATATTCAACTGGTGTGTTCCAGCAGCGTTGTCAGATATTCGAAAGAAATTAGGGTTGAGACGATGAAGTATTTACTAATTGCATAGTAGGCCTGTTGGGCTAACTTGACCCATTTAATTTTCTTTGTTATACATGTTTGTAGCTAGCTCAAAGAGACTACCTTGGGCCAAACATAATCCTTTATGAACTGATAACAGTGTTACGTGGGAAGTGCAACTTCAACCTATTTAACGCCGTTATTTAGTAGCAACCGTTAGTCAACATACATAAAAAAATAGTACGCGACAGAAAACATGTACGTATATATGTATACTAAGTGACATATAAATCCGAACACCTAGTTTAAATGGTTTTATTTTAATAAAATTTGTATAAGTACTTAATGAAGCATAATAAGTAAATGATAAAAATTTCAAAATGATTGCACTGCTTTAAAGCCCTTTGACCTTTAATAATGTGTGGATGCACCCTGGTGTGCTACGCATTCTCCAACGCGCCTAGGCATGCTTCTGATCAGGTGGTCAATGTCCTCCTGTGGTATCTCATTCCAGGCAACCACCAAATCCTCTTGAAGTGCTTCTAGAGTCTGAGGAGGACGTTGCAAATTGTGCAATCTCCTACCCATCATATCCCACACGTGCTCAATTGGGGATAAGTCGGGAGTTCTTGGTGGCCATGGTAACAATGTGACATCATTATGTTGAAAGAAGTCTATTGTGACTCTTGCAACATGTGGTCGGGCATTATCTTGTTGGAAAGTTGGATCTGCCAGGGTGTCAAGATAGGGTAAAAGATCGGGTTCTAGAACTTCGTGGATATAACGCGGCGCGTTCATGTTACCTCTGATGAAGATTAAAGGTGACCTGAAACCATAAGCTATAGCACCCCAAACCATAACTCCAACAATGTGATGAACATGTCTTTCAACAAAAAACTGTGGATTCCTCCTTTCACCACGTCGCCTTCTAACCCTTACACCGACGTAATCGCCTTGAGTGGTTCAGACAACAGTCACTCTGGGATCAGGAATGGAACAGTATTGTCTTTAGTGGCGAGTCTCGATTTTGTTTAGGCATGCACGATGGTCGTGCCAGGGTTAGAAGGCGACGTGGTGAAAGGAGGAATCCACAGTTTTTTGTTGAAAGACATGTTCATCACACTGTTGGAGTTATGGTTTGGGTTGCTATAGCTTATGGTTCCAGGTCACCTTTAATCTTCATCAGAGGAAACATGAACGCACCGCGTTATATCCACGAAGTTCTAGAACCCCATCTTTTACCCTATCTTGACACCCTGGCAGATCCAACTTTCCAACAAGATAATGCCCGACCACATGTTGCAAAAGTCGCAATAGACTTCTTTCAACATAATGATGTCACATTGTTACCATGGCCACCAAGATCTCCCGACTTGTCCCCAATTGGGCACGTGTGGGATATGATGGGTAGGAGATTGCTCAATTTGCAACGTCCTCCTTAGACTCTAGAAGCACTTCGAGAGGAGTTGGTGGTTGCCTGGAATGAGATACGACAGGAGGACCTTGACCACCTGATCAGAAGAATGCCTAGGCGCGTTAGAGAATTCGTAGCACATCAGGGTGCATCCACACATTATTAAAGGTCAAAGGGCTTTAAAGCAGTGCAATCATTTTGAAATGTTTATCATTTACTTATTATGCTTCATTAAGTACTTATACAAAATTTCATTAAAATAAAACCATTTAAACTAGGTGTTCGGATTTATATGTCACTTAGTATATTCTTATTAAGCTGTGCATATGACTAAATAAACAGAGAAAAAATGCAAGTGGGAACCTATTTCTTTTTTTAATTTGTGACGTAGTGTTATTAATAGTTCCCTCCCTATTGGGACTAAACCCTATTCGTAGTCCATTTACGCCCCGGTACAACAAAGATGCAGCGCGCCAAAGCAGCAGCCGCCTAAGCGCTGCAATAGCTATTGGTTATTCTGCCATAATACTACGAAAAAGTGCAGGACTCGACAGGATAGAACTCAGGCTCGTGTTATCGCCAGCAGTTGCTGTTCATATTCGGTACATACATAGCGTGTTTTTATACGTTAGCATTTCGTCTACGGATACGGCAGATGTAACTGAGAATATTTCTCCTAATGCTTCCTTGAGACAGTGATGTCTCCTCCCCGAAAACGTGACAAGAAGGGACATTTGAATAACCAGGCAAAAGGAATTGTCCTTAACATTTATAAAAGCGAAATTTTAGAGCATCCTGAAATGAAAATTAATGATATTGAAAGACGTGTGGCGAACAATACAGGCTTATGTTTATTCCCTTGTATTCGTTTAACGTTTATTCCCTTGTATTTTATAACACATCATAAAATAAACATTTGTATAATACATATGATATATTGTACAATATACAATACAATATATTACAAAGTGATGGCGATATATACAGTGGCTTTATATATTTCACTAAAATACAACATGTATAGTTTTTCTTATGTGATACCTAGATAACTTAATATCCGTATGCACTAATCTTAAATAAGGTGTAATTTAACATTTGAATAATAAAATAGTAAAATAACTAAAACAAAATAACTCCAGGTCAAATAATTATTTGACAATTCATATAATTATAATGTCATGCCAATTACTTTGTAGCCACTTAAATAAAGACAAAAATCAACCAACTCAGAATTTAAATTACTAAAAAAAAACATAAAAAAATGAACTAAACATTTGCATATTGTAGAAAAGAGCTATGAACCTATCCAGGTTTGCCACAACAAATGATCTACACTCTGAACTAAACAATTTTAATTTATTTATCATCCTCAGTGTCCCAGGCAAAATGTTGTAGATTTTCGGATCAATATAGTCAATTGATCTTAGTTTATGTTTGTGAAACTATTGGGTATTATTAAATTTCTATCAGCATTGTTTCTGGTTGAATAAGGATGACTAACATATTCTCTTATTAAAGGATTTTTATACATAAAGGAGCAGACTTATAAAATATACAATTGTAGTATTTTTTCACTATAGAGATGACAAGTAGGATATCATTTGTTTTTTCTAAAAATTATCTTTAATATCTAATTCTGGATAGTTTTTAAAGGTTTTAATGCTGTCTCATATAAACTTCCCCAGACAATTATCCCGTATCTGAGTAATGAATCCACTAGGGCTTTATAGACACAGATTAATAAATTATTGTTTAAAATTTCTCTGATCATGTGAATTTTTCTAATTAGTTTTTGTAGATTGTTAGTTAACCTAAGCACATTTAAGATTTTGATCTATTATTACACCAAGGTATTCGGTGTATGGGTACCTTTTTTATTTCATTTTCAAAACCGTTCACTTGTATGCTGTTAAAATTTGGTCGATTTGCAGATATTAAGGAAAAGGCTATGTAATTAGTTTTATCCACATTTAAACTAAGTTTAGATGAATCAAGCCAACATTTTATTTTTTCTAATCCAAGAGATGTTTTTTCATATACTCGTCCCATGTTTCCGCCACAAAGACCACGGCGGTGTCATCAGCGTATGAAACCACCATACCATTTTCTAGAATAATATCTGTCAAAGAGTTTATATATAATATAAATAGTAATGGCCCAATAACGGTGCCCTGTGGTATGCCCATTTCTATTTCTGACGAGTCACTGATCACATTTCCGATTTTAGTCATCTGTATTCTACCTGTCAAGTAACTCGCAAAAACCTCCGACACAACACCCCTGATCCCATAAATATCGAGGACATCCAGAAGGGAGTCATGAGGCACTGTGTCAAATCCCTTTGCAAGGTATAGGAAGGCCGCAATGCATTTCTTTCAATGATTTTTTGAAATGGTTCTTATAAGCTTAAGTATCGCATCTGGGCTACTGATGCCATTGCTAAAACCAAATTGATTTTCTGACAAAACATTATTACTAGATAAAAAGCTTGATAATCTCTCTAAGACACTTTTCGAATATTTCAGCGAAATTCGTAATAACTCCAATTGGACGAAAATTTGTAATTTTAGTTTTATCTCCAGATTTATATATTGGGGTAACAATAGTCGTTTTAAAGCTTTGGGGTACACAGACAGTAATAATAATTTATTTTGTTAGACTATTCCAAGGCCATTGAGGAAAAAACGGTCCTGTATAATCTCGTTTTTGGGCGTGTTGTGTTTTGTCTGGGTGTAAATGGACTACGAATGAGGTATAGAATGAAAACATTTTAAGTACCGTGCATATCAAAAGCAAATTTAGGGTTGTCGGTGGAAATGATGCTAATCCAAGAGTGCGGGGAATCCGATGGTGGATAGTGGCTAATAATTGAATTAGGCCGTTATTCCATAGCCGAGCTGACGCTTTATGATTTATCAAGCCTGAACTAATCGATCTCAAAGGGACGATTGCCAACCAACTCACCGCTTGTTATTGAGCACAGGTGGTTCGACATACAATGCACATGGATTTCTTTCGCGTTTGGGTCATGACGGAGATAGATGGGCCTGTCGGTGGCAAGGACGGTGAACGCTTGATAGTAAACATCGTTGAATATTTTCTGCTAGGTTAATGTGTATGCTACTTACTGGAAAGCTCAGTAGCAAAATTTTGATTAATTCAACCCTTTAAGCCAGTACTAATAATCAGACTAACCATGATGTTACAGAATATTGTCAAGAAAAAGGTCAGATTCAGTACGTTAAAATATTGCTGTCAACGTTCTTCTAACACCTTGCGTGCTAATTAAAATATCTTGATTCTCCATTCATCTCGCAAATACATGGAAAAATGTCGAATCAATTAAACGATACCGCGTATAGTGATCATTCGTGCGGTATGGGTTGCAGCCAGTGTCCTCATTGCTGGGCTGCGTTCGTAAATTGTTACAGAGTATACTTTCTACTAAGCTGTAACAATTTAGCGTTCGTAATTGTTTGACGTACCTGTTACATGCGTTCAGAAATAGAACGAAAGTACTTCTGGAACGTCAAAATTGTGCTTTTCTTCCAGAGCTCAAAACCTTGCGAATAAGAGTTCTGTCACTTCTCATTCTCATAGTTCGTTGTTTGTTTATTTTATTCGGTTATCAAAAACTGCTCAAAATTGTCAGAATATATGTTTTTCATGATAAATGCTACCTCGTATCGCTAGGGTCTCTTATAATAACTACAATGGTCGTGGTTAGAAATTAGTCGGCTGTCATCAAATGTCATTAAGGCCCATATCGTCAGTCGTCCCTACAATTGTAGGGCGCGTTTATGGCCTTCTTGATTGTCATACTCCTTTCTTTCCTTCAAAAATGTCTAGATTACACTTGTCCCGTGTCAGCGTCAGCGCTCTCCTATTGTGAAGATATGTTTTCTTTTTAAATTGTAGGAAATTTCAGGCTGATAAAACATGATATAACTCAAAAGCAAGCACAATTTGATGCAAATAGATGTTTGTGACATAACCTCAAAATAGAGTTCTGACACGGAGAAGCAGAAAACTATGACAATCAAGGAGGCCATAAAGCCGCCCTACAATTGTAGGGACGACTGACGATACGGGCCTAAAGTAAAGTTTCACAATATTGCAGAGTAAAATTTCATCTGTCAATCTACATTCCATTACTGTGTACGGTATTACATTACCAAGTGATTTACAAACGCACCCCTATTTAACACTTTTCCCCAACATTTCTTAGGTCTAAAAGGTATGCCTCGACGGTATTCTGATTAATTCTGATGAATTGTGACAAATGAAACGTTATACCTACGTTGTCTTTTGAGGAGCAATGATAAATCAATAAATTAACTGTTATTATAGAAACCAAGATACAAATTGATTCCATGACATATACTTTCATAAACGACCTTTTAGATTGAGCCTGGATTTTACGCTGAGACTAAAGTGTGCAATAAAATCATCCGAAGCTGCTCATGATATCACCATGAAAAATATCCAGAATTACCAGGCGACCCATCCATTTTCTGGATATTGCCGTCATCTTTAAAGCCATCTCGTATACTCGTATCACGATCCCCATCCTTTGTACAGGAATTTAATGTCACTCATTTACCAGGAAACTTGGTTCTCTCACATTTAAAACGTCCATGTTCGTGTATGTGTGATTGTGATAAAGTATCATCACCTGAAACCAAGGAGACACTGTATAACTCTAAAGCAACTCTGCCATATTATCGGAAATATTTTAATTTAGTCTCATTCCATTATTTAATAAAAGGTTTTATTGATTTTTTACAAGCTTTTGTTTAACTTGAACTGTTTGTATTTTAGTATGTAGTATGTGTGTGAGACAAATCATGGTAACTTAATTTTGAACCAAGTCAACCAATTGAGCTGAAATTTTTGTACACACGTTTGGTGCGCATAATAATACAAAATGAACTAACTGCCGCCATTTGAAATCCAATATGGCGGATCGTACAAAACGGCAATTCTTCATTACCATAGTAACCCGTACATATAGGTATCAAATGAAAGGGCTTGATGTGAGAAACGCAACAAGCAAAGTGACGTCATTCTAAATAAAATGTGACGACCACCCCAAGATGGCGATTTATAATTCACGGTGTCATACGACACTATCGGTATCAAATAAAAGGGCTAGTCAGAGTTACCCAAACTTTTTTGTGTCGTAGACCCCTTGCCATATTTTTCCGTGTTGGGTAGACCCTCTACTTACCTGATATTGATTTCCTGTAAGTTTCTAACTATAGTGAAGTTAAGTGTTAAAAACTTAAAGTAAAAAGTAATGTTAATTTATAAATTTATTAACTGAATTTAAATTAAAACTACTCAAAATAAATTTTGTATCTGTTATGTAAAATATACGTAACATTAAATAAACAGGTGTCTGACCAATAAGTGCCCGCATTGGGAATAAGTGCCCGCATTGAAAAAAATAAGAGGTAAAATAAAAAAAGTGAAATAATAGAATAAAAGTTTTTTACTTAAAATAGTACAATAGTTCGTTTATTAATTATAACTAAACGTATGTTCTACAATAATTTCACTGTTAGTTTGATTAAATTCCGCTTCTTGTACGTTTAAGTTATCTAAAAATAGGCAAAAAATTAACGAATTTTAGTGTGTACCTATCCTTGAATTTACAGAATAATTAAAAAAATATTTTCTATAAAGGGGGGTTCTTTAAAAAAATCAATGCGGGCACTTATTCCCAATGCGGGCATTTATTGGTCAAATACCAATAAACATAAAATAAACTATAAATAAAATAGCATAAGCAATAAGTCAATATTTTTAGTGAGAAGGATGAACCTGATGCATTAATTTTAAATTATCAACATTTGGCGTCAATTTTGTAAGGGTTAATCTTTAATCTCCTCGGCTAATGATGTCCAGTCTGTTTCTTTTTTTCGTTAGGAGATTGGTAACAGCGCTGAACCCCCTTTCCACTAGGTATGACGATGGAAAGGAAATTAAAAATTTCCTGGCTATATTCCATAATACGGGATAAGTAACGGGTATGTTGTTTTGCAGCCAGAATTGCTGATATCCGTTTTTAAACTGAACCTTAAGTTCTTCGTTTGTACTTAGTTCAGTCAGTTCCTCTTGTATTATGACATTCGTTTCTTCTATGTCACCATATGGATTAATTATCCACGGTGGTATTACCATAGTCAAAATATCCTCAAACCTAGATTCAAAATCTGAATAGAGAGCATTTAAATGTTGAACGTAAGTTGAAACGTCGTCTTCCTGGCAGCTTGTCTGTGACAAATTGGGGAACTGAGAAAATTCGCCCCGTCCAATATTTTGCTTCATTAGTTTAACTCTGGCAAGAAACGCTGATAAGATGGCAAATTAACCATATTAAATTTTGTAAACAAATATGTTAAATAGGCGATGTCTGTTTTCCTCTTCATTAAATTTTCTTTTAAAATTTTATCTTTAGTATCCAGAAATTCTAAAATAGTCTCAAAAAGTGCAAAAAATCTTGTCAAACATAAGCCTTTCGACAGCCAGCGTACTTCAGTGTGAAGGAGTAATTGATGAAAGTGTTCGTCATTTTCTTCACACAACTGCGCAAATAACCGCGTATTCAACGCCTTGCTTCGGATTCGGTTTACTGCATCAATGACTAAATGAAGTGATTCATGCAATCTAACACTCAAATTTTTAGCAACTGAATGTTGTCTATGGATGACGCAATGTATTGCTAACACCCCTGACACATTTTGTTTTAAATAGCTCATAAATCCACGATAACGTCCAACCATGACAGGTGCTCCATCTGTAACTACTGATATTATATTTGATAAAGGAATTGCTTTTTCAATGAAGTAATCCTTCAAAACATGAAATATTGGTACATCTTTACTGTCTGTTATCAAAGTTCTTGCGAAGAGCAGTTCTTCGTAGATTTCTTGATTCATAATAAAACGAACATATGCCAATAATAATGCTGCATTATCAGGTAAAGTTGACTCGTCCAGTTGTATAGAGAAATGGGTCGTTTGCAAATAATTACATAAGAAGCTTTCAATATCAGAACTTATTTCATCAATACGTCTTTTAACAGTATTGCTGCTTAAGGGAATTCGTTTAAAGATATCAGATGCAGGTTTGTGTAAAACAGTTTTTGAAACCTCTTCAACGGCTGGCAAAATTAACTTCTCTCCGATAGTATGCGGTTTTCCGGATTTTGCTATAAGTAACGAGATATTGTAAGACGCCTGCAAACTATCATCATTTCTTTCTGACGTCGAAGCGAACATTCTGTCCAGTGTAGGTCTCTTCTGAAATTTATGTTTGAGTGTTTGAAAGTATTTCAAATCTTTCTCTGTTTTATCAGAGTGGCATCTTCTCAGATGATCTTGCAATTTAGATGGTTTCATAGCGTCATTGCTAAAACTTTGTTGCATAAAAGGCACATCGGCGATTGTTTGTCCGGCAATGATGTAATGAAGCCAAATTTCAAATAATCAACACTGCACTGTCTACATTTCTTTTTAGATTCGGACATGGCATCAGTCATCTGTGGGCAAAATTAAATTATTTAAATAAGACAGAAAATCCAGCAGCTGTATATTAAAAATATTTTTTGATTTTTCCGAAAACATTCCATAACTCGAACATGTTCTTGCAACAATTAGCTCGAATTACGGAGATTGCACTGTAATTAAATTACCGATTGCTAAAACTTTCAAAAAGAAACTATTGAGGAGTACTCGTGTAATTTTGCATGATTGAATATTTAACTACTAATAACTAAAGTCATGATTGGCGTAATTTATCTATCTTTGCTAACTACGAGTACAAAACTAAAATTTAATAAAAAATAATGTGCTTACTTTTCTCCAGCACTCTCAAACAAAATAACACTGACTCACTATAATTTGTGTGATATACTATCTGTTTATATTTTTTAAAATATTTTCTTAGCACTTTCATTTTCAAGATTGAGGAAACGAATAAACGTATTTTTCCCACATTTGTATTTATAGAGTGACGAATTGAACGAATTGAAGTCAGTGCAAGGTAGCGAAGCTCTGAGACTGCGACTCTCAGGTTTTTACAAGTTCAAAATGTATTGCGACCACAAAGCGAATACCAACATCCTACAACTTACACAATTTTATAAACATATATAATAAATTTTTTACTTCCTAGGTACTTTTATAAATAATGTACATGTTTTGATATTATAAGATGGTATGATGTAAGTAAATAGGTACTATCAGTGTATGTGTTGAGATCCACTATCGTGGCCCCGCATATTCATTTCATGGACCCCCAAGTTTTTTTAGACCCCTTGCAGGTTGTCGTAGACCCCTAGGGGTCGATATAGACCACTTTGGGAATCAATGATCTAGATGAACAAAGTTGCAGATCTTTTCGATATACAGAGTTCCACATAGTTGAAAAGAGAAGAAAATGGGCGGGTTTGTTTAGTCGGTTTAACGCCCCGCGGCCTAATTTAGGGAATGCTCAGAAAGACAAAGTCTATTGACATATCGGTAGAAGTGGGCTAACTCAATGGCCGAGCGTTGCGACGATGTCATCACCCGCGAAACTGTGGATCCGATTTGTGTTGGACCCAAAACTGATCCCTGAGGAACACCTGTGTTGTCAATTTCATAAGCGATTATAGCGTACATCAACGACTGCAGTTACATCATGCAGTATGTCCTCAAGTTAGATTAAATAGCGTGGGATGATCAAAACAGCGCCTTGGTGCGTAAAGTTGGAGCTTCAAGCAGGTTTTAATGAAAGGGCAGCAAAGGAAGGAAGGAGTCGTCTCGTCCGAAGTGTAATTGGAGGGCTTTATTTTCTAATTAACCAAAATTCAGGCGTCTGTCCGTAGGGCTCTGTATTTAATTCGAACCTGAGGAATTATCGGATGAGAACTAGACAAAGTATTATTCGACAGAGCAAGGATAGTCGAGTCCTATTAGTAGTTTGATATTTCTAACATCTCACTCATCACTATCGTCTCATAGTATCTGCGGATATCTCAACATTTTTAATAAATTTTCTGAGACTTCCTATCTGACTCATTGTCTTGTTCCACTTCACGTTCATGAACAAGGGTTGTATTGTGCTTGCAATCATTTCAAAATTTCACATTATACGATTTTTTGAGGTTTTTCTGTTTTCTGGTTTCAAGAATATACAGCGTGCTTCACAACTTATGGGACAAATTTTAACCACATATACACTGTTACAAAAGAAGTTGATTTCTCAAAAAAAAAAAATAATGTAATAAAAGTCCTACAGAAATCGATATAACAAAGTAATACAGTTTAACAGTTCACTTACCTATAAAAGCTGTTCAAAATTGTTTCCATTGACTGCAATGCAAGTTTTGGCGCATCTAATCCAATTTCGGCGCACTAATTTAAATACACCTCCTTCTTGCTGTGCCTGAAAGCTCAAATTATCGGCAGCCACTGTGATTCGGTCACGCAATTCTCCAATATTCTGAGCTGGAGTACGGTATACCTCGTTTTCAGGTATCCCCATAAAAAGAAGTCCGGAGGATTTAGATCGGGAGACAGTGGAGGCCATGCAATTAGTCCACCCCTTTCGATCCAGCGTATCTGGTATACCTGATTAAAAAAATCACGAACTTCTAAACGAAAATGCGGAGGTGTCCTAACGTGCAGAAACCACATCCGTGCTCGGACCGTCAATGGCACATCAAGAAATTCCAAATACTGCTGACCATCCATCCGATTTGGCAATATGGCAATATTGGTTAACCCATTACGAGTAAAAATAGCTTCATCGGTAGCCAAAATATCAGCTGCAAAACGGGAAATTTCGAGCATTTTCTTGCAACAACCACTCACAAAATCTTACTCATAGTGGATAGTCTGTAGGTATAAACGCTTGGACTCTCTGGATGTAATAAGGGTACAGTTGGGCCTCATGTAATATGCAAGTGACACTTCTGGGATCTGTTGGGCTAACTGCCTTGTGCTTATTCCCGGATTTTCTTCTACAATATCCAGAATTTCGTCTTCGGTATTTAAAACACGTTGTGGGCGAACCCGACCTCACGTCTGGGGCGCAAATCTCCACTAGAACGTGCACGTAAAACAATTGTACTAAATGTTTCGTGATGTGGTATGTGCCTATTCGGAAATCGTATGCTAAAACAATGTCCACTAACTCCTCATTAGTGTACACATGTGCCATTTTTAGTTATAAATAACTAAAAACAAACTCTCAGAATACTTTCTTATTTAACTACACAAAAATCGACCGTTCTTCATCCATATCACCCACGATTCAGATTAAACCTTATTTACACGTTCTTATCAGTATAAAAAAACAAAAAATTCCTTAAATTTTGTTTTCGTCAGTTGTTTGATACAACATTTGCTACAATAAATGAGGAGCAGGCTTGCAAATCGCATTTTGTCCATTTTTACCAATTTTCACGAGGAGCAAAAAACTAGTACAGAAAAACTAACCATAAGAGAAAAAAACTTTTGGGATACTATACTGTTATCAAGTGTATGGACCTCCAAAAACAACTTTAAATAATAAAAAAAATGCAATTTGAATGTCATTGTCAAGTTAACTAAGATAAAAAATCGTGTTTTATTAAAAAAAAGGTTTACATTGAAACATTCTGATGAAACAAATCAAAATTTGTAAGTATTATAATATTAGTAGTAAACGATAATATTTTTAAATAAATTCATTATCATCATTCTCAGCGCATCCACAAACTTCTTCGTCATTGCCGTGCCCTTCATCTTCATCATTACAGTTTGCCACAGTTTTCTCGAATATTTCAGCCATCCATTTCAGCTGCGGGTCCGTTTTGTAACATTCGTCACAATACAATGTAACAAGTAGGTGTTTTAAACTATCAAGCTTGTTCTGCTTTATTCCATGTCCAAGTCATACTTCGGGAAGTTCGATTTGATCTAACCACTTTTTAGGTTTCAGCAAAGTTTGAAATTTTTTTGCTGGATCATCCGTTCGATACAGCAATTCAGATTTCATCACAACGCCCGAGGGCTTTCCTCATTTGATGATTGTTCTTTTAATTGAGCTAATTCCTAGGACTTTTTTCAAACAGAATGAAGCTTGTTTTATATTCACCCATGACCAATCAGTTCCAAGTTTTCTGATTTCACCTTCTTGTTTGTAAAGTTCCCAACATTTTTCAGGTATTTTTATGACCGCGTGCCATCTTAAAATCTCTTCCATCCTCTCAAAAATTCTATCTGCCGGAAGATAAGGGTGTCCTCGCACTGGGAAGATAACTTCTATCTTTTTAATCGTTTCTCCAGCAAAGCTGTATA